TGGTTAGGTTTTCAAAAATGTTGTTCTCTTATTTTCTGAATTTGTTTATTTCTGTCACTGGTGGAGTTTTTAAATTATTGACTATAACATCGAAAGTAATTTTTTTAGAAGTCTACTATGTCAGAACATCTGGTTATTTTGTTTTGAGACTACTTCGTTCCAGGCTACAACTCTGCCTCTCTATATACACATAAAGTAGTCCAAGAGCTATAAGGTTATATGACCATCATAAAAGTAGTTGACAGCAAATAAATACCCCCTTTGTGTGGTTCGCATTAAGCTTACCGGTTGGCAATAAATCGTCTTCTAAACATTTCTTGCTTAAATTTAGATATTTAGTGAAAGCCGCGCCTGAACGAAACGAGAACAGCCGGTCGAGCTGTAGTGGGACCCTAAAATCTTGTCTATTGTAAACAACGTAACTTCAATATAATGGGATAATTTTGTGATGGCCATATAACCTTATAGCTGTTGGACTACTATGCATGCTTATACTGGGCGTCTGGAAAATGGCGGATTAACTCTTCGCTACGCTCTTAACAATCAAGTGGAAAGTGGGAAAAGTAGTAAAAAAATTCCTTCTCACATTTTGCTAGAGTTGTAATGATTTTAAAAGTGGCTCTTTTGTTCCCTTTAACATCTAAACAACACATTTATTATCACAATAACTAGTAATAAAACTTTTAGTTACTATTTCTGTCGCCCATGATCATGTTTTATTATCATTACCATTTCATTTAGAATGTACAAAGATATGGTTGTATTGTTTTTGTAATAATTTCATAAAATTCCATTTTACAACAGTGTTTGCCTATATAGAGCGAAGGTACTGTGGTGACCGAATTTAAATCAAAATTTTCGCGCTGAAATTAATTCACAGCGGAGCGAAATCACATTTGAATAATTTGAATTTGAGAAAAAAAGAGAATTCAAGTCATAAATCGTTAAACATAGGCAACCATTTGCACGATAACGCTTGCTGGATAGTTGGACAGTTAGTAGCGCTAGGAGGATTTTATTTAGAGGGTTGGTTGGTAGACAGAGGGCAGCATGCTGAAAGCGTGAGTCATTATCTTTCGGGTCGGTGTAGTGGATGCATGGTGAAAGGACGCTGTAAGTAGCTAGGTTTAAATTATCTGCTTTGGTAGTTAATAAAAGGGAGGAAGCCTTTGTTTAACGACAATCAATCGTAACCGACGGCGCCCAGTTTCCCCAATCCGCGCGGCTAATTCTTGCGGCCTTTTAATAAAAAAAACATGCGATCTTTCAAGGCGGAACACGTGCTGTAAATTTGTTTTATTGTTTGTTAATTCACCAATCAAGTTAGTTTTTCTCAATCGTCAGCTAGTGCAAACACCATTTAACAATCAGGGGTATTTAAATAAACAATTTACTAGATTTCATGAAATTCATTTAGTCAGAATAATAATTCTTTGTTTAACAAATTATAAATGAGTTTCTGGATGCATATGCGTAAGTGTTACATTATAACACTCCATAATTCTTCACACAAGATTGCTAATAGTTCATTTATGGCAGTTAAAATAATTCATACCGCGAACTGGCGGGGGGTTAAAATAATGTCTTCTCTTAGGCGGTTATCACCGTTATTATCATCGTTATCATGATCACACCACTGGGGCATGTCCTCGCAACGCCAAAGATTGATTACATCACCGAGACGCTTTTTCCTCGCAACGATTATTGAATATTTTTGTGTTTATTATGTGTTTTGTTGTGGTAACCAGTTCGCGGTATTCTAAACTGTCAAAGTAAACTGATTTTTCTTTTTAAAGTAACGAATCACTTAGATCATGATATAATTTAACCTAATGTAAACTCTTTGTTTGAATCGTTGATAAAGTGTGGCAATTATTAATCTCTTGTAAATCTTGTTAACTTTGCAATTTTTCACCTCATACAATATAATTTTCCTTTGTTGTATAAGTTTCATTGGACGTAAATTTCACGCTCTCAAGGTTAGTTAATAGAGAAATCTATTAAATGACTTTGCACGCTCTGTAGTTTTAACCTCACATAATATTTTTATTTGCACAAGTTTATTTTACTCCAGATCTTTTGTTTTTATAAATCTTTGCTAGTTTTGTTTTGTAAATATTTTGTTGATGAATGTTTCCATCGTATAAATTATTTGATGTCCAATTTTATTCTCACATAAGGATTATTTGTTTGGTTAAGGTTAAATAACACAGAAAACATGGCAGAAGCGAAGTGCGGTTCCTAGTCGAGCTGGCGAGATTCATCGCGTCACCTGCACAAGTCCGCAGGTTTGTATAGATTCAGGGGCGGTCGCCGATATTGTAACGCTCTCGGCTTCGTGCTAGCTTAGATTGAACTGCGGGTCTGCTATCGTAATGGCCTAGTTTCGGACGGCATGTTGGTCATGGATATGTGCTGTGTGGGTAGGCTTTGCGATAGATAGAATCATCGTCGAGGTGGGAGAACAGCCCCGACCGATAGCCCCAAACTCCGCTTGTGTTAGAACGCCCCAGGGGTATTTTTGTTGTGCTCCTGTTAACTGCCGCCATACGTCCGTAATAACTTGTATATTTGCATCCAGTTACTTTAATTTAGATTTTGCTTTGTTTCTATTAAATTTGTGATCTTTAAATATTTGCATTGACTCAAAACATAAACGTAGGGTTTTTGTACTTGTTTGGTTCTCATATGTATATATCTGTCAATTCACGAGTGTATTTTCTTTCATATTTTTAAGGTGTTTCATTTGAATTGTAATATGTCGGTGAATATACGATATGGGCTTTTTGGGACTGAGGAGTGAATACTCGCAGCTTCTTTCCTCCTGAGAGTGGTACCATTTTAGCCCCTCGCAAAAATTTGATCTATTATTTCTTGCGCTCTCGACTCATACGCAGTGTATGCTCACTTGTATGAAAGAACGTCTTCATGCCACTTTGAAAAAAAAAAAAACGTAGGTTTCCATTTTGCTAGACGATCACAGCGAGCCAAGGCCAAACTTTGAATTTTTGAATGTTTCGCGGGCCTTTTCAAATTTTTGCAAGGTCAATTTAAGGCGGGAAGTTTGGGTTATCACAGTACAAATCAGCAAAAATCGAGTAAGCAGTTAAAATTCTCTATTACTGATGTCTTTGGCAGTATTTTGAATCTGAAAGTATCATGCAATCCTTGCCCATATGGTATTCCAAGCCTGTTCATAAAGAAGTGCATATTTACGTTGTCACTTTCCATATGTAACTTATTCAAGTTTCATTGATTGAATTATCGTGGGGTGTGTATTAATCAAATGACATTACCAAAAAGTTTTACACAGGAAACGATTATCTGGTTGAGATCGTTTTTATGTGATAGATGGCAACAAGTTTGGTTAGGCAATTTTCTATCTGAGCCTCTTCAAGTAACGTCAGGAGTGCCAAAATCAGTTTTATCTTAGCAGGTACTAGCCTTTCAGGCGCCCGGTATATAATACACAGAGAAAAAGCAAAATTATATCACAAAAAATATGTATAATTCAAGACATTCTTCTCGGTTTATTTTAAAATCTGACGTTTTTGATTTAATTTTGGGCTAAAAAAAATGTGGAAGTGGATGCTGCAGACATCAGTAATAAATTACTTTATACTTAAATCACAGTAGGAATGAAAAATATATCGAACATTGTCGAAAGTATGTAACCAATATTACACCAACTTAATGTAAAACGACTTATTTGAAATATGCATTATCATAAAATAAATTACAAAAATGTATATAAACAACCACGGACGCGTCGAGTATGGACACCAAACCAGAGCTAAAAAAGTTTATACAGCGTGTTATTGAAAAGTACATACAAAATAAAATCGGCAATTGGTCTCGAAGTATGAGTGCTAAAAGTTAAAAAAAGTTCAGGTGAGAGTGTTCTCCTTTTAGAGATAAAAATTATTAAAATTTATGTCCAAATTCGTTGTACGCCTGTGATAAAAAGATAATCTCTCGTTTCTATAGCAACATTTATTCTTGACAAAAGTTTTATTGTTACAATAACACCCTGTATTTTAACTAGAAAATAACTAAATATCTTATGCCATGCGGAACAAAATACAATGTCCTTAGAAAATCCTTGTTGTATTAAATCGGGTGTGTATTTCTGACGTAACATTGGCTGCATACTTCCATAGATTAAAACAAAAATAAAATAAAATACACGTCCTATTTTATTTTTTTTACTTTTGATTTCAGGTCTTATTAAAAAAGGGTGTGTACCAAACAGTGCCTCCACTACATCAGAATGCGATTTTGTAAATTTGGGACCAAAATCTTATTGTCGTTACTGTGATCGAGAATTATGTAATGTAACCACTTTGTCATCTGAACCCGTACTGATAATTTATGTTATTTCTTATTTATTTGTGAAGCATGTATAAATTTGATTACTCTTACTGGTATTCGTTACTTTCTGAAGGTTCCTCTCCAAATTCCGTTGTAAAGGTTTGTGTTTCGTCAAACAGTTTCTTGTTCTGTTAAATAGTTTACTCACATCACATGCCTGAGAAATAATGATTAGTGTTGTAAACCCTAATCATAACCGGTTAAGTTCCAATCAATGAAAGAGGGTGGTATCAGTACGAATTTGTCCAAATATGAGGGGACTTTCCAGTTTTAAAGCTTTCCGCTCAACATACCGGTGCCTACATTGACACCTCCTGAAATTTGATAAACTTGTCTTTGTCTATTTAAGGTCGAGATTCTGGAAGGACTAGAAATGTATATTCTAGCGGCTACACAACTAGTTCTATTCTGCTTTTCAAGCAACAATTTAGTTAGTTTTTCGTTTGTTCCAATAAAATACACAATCAAAGTAGTGACAACTGTGCTTTCACGAGAATTGGAGATGAATTAGAATCTACGTTATAAATATCTACATATAAGTATCATATTTGGTCTACAAAGACTGACATATAAATAAAATTGTGAAAATGTAAAAGATCATCTTAAGCAGATAACCCTACTAGTGGATGATAACCTAGACACATACGCGTAATTTCTTCCCAATTTCCCATACACTTATTTATCATCAAAATGAAACGTCTTTGCAGCGTAGTGCTCCTCCTTATAGCTTTTCGTTGTGGTAAGTTAAAAGTAAACTTTTTTCTTGTAATTTATCTTTCCATGTGTTCCAGTATTAACGGTCCACTGGTGTTATGTTTGCGACGGTAGTTCATGCCATGATTCACCGTTGAGTAACATTCGTCAAGACTGTCGAAAAGTACATAACAACAAACATCAACGTTACTTGTGTGAATCTAGACACAACAAAGATCAAAGTAAGCTTTATTTGGGACACTTGGCAAGGTTGCTTTACTAAATTTTACATTTTTAGATACTACTGTGAAAAGATGTATTGTAAATAATCCCACTACTATTACGGAATGCGACGAATTGAATCTTCACAGAGAAACATCCTGCTTTTATTGCGACCGAGAATTGTGTAACACTGGTGCAAAGACGATTGAAGGTTATTTGACAGAACTGAAGAGTTTCCGTGAAAGAACTGAAAATTAGTAGTACGAAGGTTTTAGACTCGTTTATACAGCGTCAAATAAAAGATTATTTCTTAAATTAATTATTTGTGATTCTTAATTTTCCTGTTCTCTAACCTGATTTAGTTCCGTTTCATTGTTGAATATTTTGTGGTTGATAATGGAATTTATTTCATTTTTCTGTGGACTGGTTCTGTATTTTAAATTTCCCGCTAAATAAAAAGAAATCAGATATATAACCCTAAAATCAAAAAACTAATAGCCCAGGTTATAGCCCCTAGAAAATACAAAATCTTGCACTAGATTTGATGTTTACCATTTATTATTTATCTTGGACAAATACTTATCATTATTATCACTTAAAACTTAAGCTAAGTTGTACACCAGTTTGCAAATTTTAAATTTAATACTCTAAAAACATAAGTAATTATGACGCTGTTAGTAAGATGACAAGTGAAAAGACTATTAGCACAACTACGTACATTATATATTTAGCTATATTAAAACTATTAATACAAGAATTTCAGCTAACTTTTATTCCTATTACAATCATGTAAGTAATATCAGAGAAGAGAATTATACGATTTTTTGTGACTTTAAACAAATTTTATCAGTAAATAAGCTATAATGGAAGCAATAACTATAGAACCTGACGACCCTGGTGCCGAGTTGCAAAGTTCTCTGTCGCAATGGTAGCATGCGACGGTTCCATTTAGATGAAGTTCATCACATACTTTTATGTCAGCAGCATTGTTTTTCATGCAACTCCTCGATAAAACACCTACATTAGTAAATATTAGCAACAGTGGAAATAGTTAAGTTAGTAATACTAATAACATATTTTACCTGCTGTTTTATCTTCCATCGACTGGCAAAGATAGTGTTCAGTGTCACCTTCCTTTTTACAGCTAGTTTGATTTTGTAAGGATTTACAGTCCTCGAGGCTTGAACATATATAACAAGTGTGGACGGCAAAAGCTAAGTAAAACAAAAGTTGTATATAGAATATAAAACGAATTAATACTTACTGGTCGAAAAAGAAATGAAGAGAATCGCAAGAAAAGTGAGATACCCCATTTTGTACATTTTAAAAGAATGAACGACTGTAAGCATGTGATTTCTTGTTATCTTATCGATCACGTCCACCTAGATTTAATACAGTTTTCATAATCTCGACAGAATGTGTACATACATTTTGACACAAATAATATATAATAATTTTAAATATAATACAAATTGTTGATAAATTAATTTGAGGATTAAAGCCAACCCGGAAAAAATACTGGGTTGAAATTTTTTACAAAAATACGTAACAAATGATAAAAAGAGATAACAGAAACTCCAAATAATTTAAAATGTTATCATTGTTCTATCATGAGCCTAACGTATTTCAGTTTTATATTACTCATAAGCATTCATTATGGTAAGTTTCTTGCGTTATATATTTTATTTAACTATTGCAACTCTTGTATTTAGCCAACAGTGAACGCAGTTGTTACTACGCATGCAATTGCGATGAGTGTGATGCCACCTTAACGACACAACAGTGTCTAAATGATGACGATTATTGTTACTCAGCGAAAGAAGAATCAGGTAAAAGTCGATTCACAACGAAGTGCATGTTATAAAATTGAAAAATTGTAGGAAATTTGAGTAAAGGATGCGTTAGCAGCGAACTAGGAGAAAGCTTTTGTAAAGAACTTAATAGTACTCAGTGTTGGTTGTGTGTTGGAGATTTTTGTAACTCTCTTGGTAGTCGGGCAACATCTTCGATATTTTTGTTGGCAACACTGTATATTTTCCTTAGGTATATGCTGTAATTATGATACCTCGTATACATGAATTATGGTAATAGATTTTAACTATTTACAGTTTAAGTTAATTTTTACCAATTATTTAACAACTAGTAAAAAACAAAACGTATGAGTAAACTGACAAGCTATTGAAGTATTTGGGGCCGTAATAATTAAAGCTTTTATGTATTCTGAGATAATTGAAGCATATATCATTACCACTTCAAGTGTATTTAATTTTTTTGTATATATTAGACACTGGTAGACAAATAATGCCGGTACCGTGAGTACGTTTAGTTCAGGAAAAATTGTCTTGTCGCTTGATAGTTCAAGTTTAGTATTACCCTGACCGCCTTTCTTTGTAATTTAAAAATTCTACAAAGATGCGCTGTGTGTCTCCATGGCGTAAGCATAATGACTTTCGAAAAGGCTGAAATCAACTAATTTAGTTATATTTATTGGCACTTGTCTCCAGCTGATCTTGCACAATAAATATATTGTTTTACTGCAAACAGCATCAGCGTGCGCGTCCCAGGATAACTTTGCATCTATTATTACTCCAAGAAATTTTATATTTTCAAGATTATCTGCAGCTATTGATTTTGTTGAGAAGATCATTGAGGCCGTTTTGTCTTTGTTTAAGAAGAGACCATTTTTCATCTAGTAACAAATAATTTTTAATTAGCGCTTTATAATAGTTACGGCAACCTTAAGCGTTTGCAGGATTTCATAACAGTCGTTTTTGTATTTTCTAAGATCAATTTTCAAGTTTTCTTGTAAAATTTTTATTTTTTTGTAACAATTTAGATGTCTGCTACAGAAAATGAGGTAATTACACAAGAATACTATATATATTTTATAAAATAGAATTCAAGAAACAAAGCTGCTAGAAATTTGGAGAATACATTGAAAAAACGTATAAAGTGACAACACAACATTTCGGTTGAGAATATGGAGATTGAAAGGAGCTAAAAGACAAGAAATAAGGGCAACTAAAAATAGACTAAACCAATTAGTGCCGGACCGGAACAGAAAATAGTCTAGAAACATATACTAGAAGTATGTGGAGAGGATAAAGAATAAAGGAGCTCCAGAGATGTTAAAATAAGAGAAATATATATATATATAATAATATGACAATATCAATTTAAAAGAAAAGAAAATAACGATTTGCGACAACTCTACAGCAGAAAATTTCACACTATTAAGTTATAAAATATATAGGTACCAACAAAGATTGAGAAAGTATATTGAACACAAAATAACTATAAGAGCGCAGACCAAACAGATAAACAAATAACAATATATACATAATAAGAAGACTATTAGAATACAAAACAGAAGGGAGAAGATTTATGCTTTACTCTTATTGACTTAAAAACTGAGTTTGAAACGGTAGATCTGCGGATAAGATGGAATTCCTGAAAGAAATTGATGTTTCAAAGATCCTTATTAAAATTAATAAACAGAGGCATAAAGCAAGGAAACAGTTTAAGTCTATTATTGTCCATAATAGTAATAATCAGAATAGTGAAAAGGAATTAAAAAAGGCCACCTGGACACAGCAATAGGATATAAAAACCTAGACCCATTTAATGGCCAACACTGAAAGAAGATGTAAAAGTTAGGTACTTGTTGGACTAGAAAAACAGAGTATATGAAAATGGAAATAAACATTGTGGTGACCAAATTTAAATAAATTTTCGCGCTGAAATTAATTAACAGCGGCGCGGAATCACATTTGAATAATTTGAGTTTAAAAGAAAAAAAAATTCAATCACAAAAAGGAAATCGTTAAACATAGGCAACCAAATATGCACGTAGCGCTTAGGGGTAGTTTTGCATGATTATTGAGTTAGATGACGGCTTGGTATCGCTAGGGAGTTTTTAGTTACGGGGTCAGAGGGTTGGTAGAGAAGCTGCATGGCGGAGGGTCATTCTGAATGTGCTTGTGTGAGTGTAAACACGTTGGTTTGGTAGTTAATAAAATGGGAGCCGGCCTTTGTTTAACGACAATCAATCGTAACTTTCATAATGACACAGTTGTCCCCAACCCGCGCGGTTAATTCTTGCCGCCTTTTAGTCGGAAAAATGCAGACTTCCCGTCAACGCAAAACACGTGCTGTAAATTTGTTTCATTGTTTGTAAATTCACCAATCAAGTTAGTTTTTCTTAATCGTCAGCTAGTGCAAACACAATTTAACAATCAGGATTATTTAAATAAACCACTTGCTAGAAGATTTCATGAAATTCACTTAGTCAGGAAAACAGCTTGTTGTTTAATTAGGAATAAGTGTCTGAATGCATATACGTAAGTGTTACATTATAACACTTCTCAATTCTTCACACAAGATTGCTAATAGTTCATTTACGGCAGTTAAACAAGTTCATGCGAACCGGCGGGGGTTATGATATTTTCTTCCCTTAGGTGATTATCATCGTTATCATAATTAATTCATCGGGGCATGCCTCACAACGCCACAGATTGATTAATTCATCAAGGCATGCCATCACAACGCTACAGATTGATAGAAGTCCGTCCTCGCGACGCTAGAGATTAATAACATCACCGAGATGCTTTTTCCTCGCAAAGATTTTAAAATTTACATCACCGAGACGCTTTTTCCCTCGGAGCGATGATTGGATATTTTTGTGTTTGTTTATTATGTGTTTTGTTGGGATAACCAGTTCGCGGTATTTTAAACTCTCAAAGTAAATTGTTTTATTTTTCAAGTAACCAATCACTTAGACCATGATATAATTTGACTTAATGTAAACGCTTTGTTTGAACCGTTGATAAAGTGTGGCAAATCTTAATCTCATGTAAATTTTGTTAACTCTGCAATTTTCCACCTCATACAATATTTCTCAATCTGACAGTTTTAACTTCAGTAGTTTTATTTGTTGTATAATTTTAATTGAACGTAAATTTTGGTCTAGGACAATTCGGCGCGGCCGACTTGGCGTGAGACACTTTGGCGCGGGCCATCTTGGCGCGAATGAACTCGCACCAAAAAAAAATAGATATAAATATACAAAAATTGCACCCGTTGTTAGCATAACCTACTTACTATAGTCTCCAACGTGTGGAGGGGTAATGTCGACTTTTTAATGGACACACAGGCGCTTCGCGCCCTGCACCCCATTGTAAACATAGTCCTAAACGTGGAACTTCTTGCTCCGTGGATCATTTATTTATTGGAATTTGTGCGAATGTAACTGTGTATTTGGTTGCCTATATTTAGCATAAATAACAGGGTGCCAACCACAGTACGAACAATAAATATTTTTTATATTATATACCAACGTACTCGCGCCAAGATGGCTTGCGCCAAAGTGTCCCTGAGCCAAGTTGGCTTTGCGCCAAATCGGCCGCGCCAAGTCGGCCAACTCAAATAGTCCCATTCTGTCAATTTCATGTTTTACAGTTTTAACCTCACATAATATTTCTATTTGTACAAGTTCATTTCACACCAGATCTCTTGTTTCATAAATCCTTGCTAAGTTTTGTTTTGTAAATATTTTGTTGATTAATGTTTCTATCATATAAATTATTTGATGTCCAATTTTAATCTCACACAAGAATTATTTATTGTTCAAAATTTCACAAGATTATATGGCGAATTTAAATGTTGTTTATTGCTTATTGAAACTTTAACACTTGTTCAGTTGTTGTAAATATCAAAGATTAAATATTTAAAAATGGAATTGAGGTTAAATGACACAGAAAACGTGGCAGAAGCGAAGTTCGGTTCCTAGTCGAGCTGGCGAGATTTATCGTGTCACCTGTACAAGCCCACAGGTTTGGATAGATTCAAGGCGGCCGCCGGTTTGTAGTGCTCTCGACTTGGACCAATAGTCGAGATCCACTTGCGGGTCTGGCGACCGTAATGGCTTAGTTCCGCAGGGCACGTTCGTAATGGAGATATGCGTGTGGGGTAGGCTTTGTGATAGATAGAATCACCGTCGTGGGGGGAGAACAGCCCCAGACCGGTATCCCCAAACTCCGCTTGTGCTACAACGCCCCAGGGGTACTTTTGTTGTGCTCCTGTTAAATGCCGTAACTTTAAAAATCAGCCGCCACACGCCCGTAATAACTTGTGTAATTGCATCCAGTTACTTAATTCAGGTTTTGCTTTGTTTTTATGAAATTTGTGATACTCAAATATTTACATTGATTCCAAACATCTGTATAGAATTTTCCGTTTGTTCGTTTTTCATATGTGTATGTCTGTCAATTTGGGAGTGTTTTTTTTCGTATATCTTAAGGTGTTTAAAATGTAATATTTCGATGAATAAAACCCTAAAGGATTTTTGGGAATGATGTCCGATGACGCCTTAACCTTGCGGAATCACTTTCGCTTTTCGTTTCTTTTCTTCCTAAGGAAGGGCGCCATTTCGACCCTTCCCTAATTTTGTCTATTATTTCTTGCGCTCTCAACTCACATGCAGTATATGCTCACTTGTATGAAAGAACGTCTTCCCGCCATTTTTCAAAAACAAAAAAAAACACAACGTAGGTTCCTATTTGTTTGACGATCACAGCCAAGGCCAAACTTTGAATTTTTAAATTTTTCGCGGGTCTTTCAAACTTTTTAAAGGCGGGAAGTTTGGATTATCACAACATTAATAAAACAAAGATGGCAACAATAAATGAAAGAAATAAGGATCAATTAGAGTGCCTTTATATGAATTGTTATAAAGACTAAAGACACACTTGCGGACTGGAAGTGACATTCATAGAGAAAGAGGCAAATATAACATTTCTTTTCTAACATTGCGAGAGAGAAACCCTATTGTCAAATCTTCCATTTGACCTATCAACGTTAGTCTGGGGCGGTACCATAAAACTAAAAGAAAAAACAATACAATTAGTAAATATTTAACGAACAAGTTTGTTAATCAAGGCGATTAATAATCGAGGTATTTTAACGCGCTCATTCCTCGCACGTTAATGGTCTAGATTACACTATGCAACACTAAAAAATTCACAGAAAGTTCAGATAGTGTTTGAGGTTGGGTATACTCCATATACTAAAGAAAAAAATGTTTTATAGTCATATCACATCACAAAACATAGATAACGGGTGTTTTGTTTTTCTTACTTAATGGGACACTTGATTGCATTTAATCGTAAAAATATCGCTTTTATGTATCCACCCATGTTTGGAGACTTCTGTTGGTGTCTTCAGAGGGATACTGCGAGATTTGGCTACAATAGGAATGCCAATCGTTCGAAAAAAAGACCTTTTTCAATGAAAAATGAAGTATTATTTTATTCATTTTGTATGATTTCAAAAAATTCAATAAACACTTTTCATTTTGAAACCTGATGTGATAGGTTGGGTAGCTATACTCCATATACTAAAGAAAAAAATGTTTTATCCTCATATCACATCACAAAATATAGATAACGGGTGTTTTGTTTTTCTTACTTTTTGGGACACTTGATTGCATTTAATCGTAAAAATATCGCTTTTATGTATTCACCCATGCTTGCAGACTTCTGTTGGTGTCTTCAGAGGGATACTGCGAGATCTGGCTACAATAGGAATGTCAATCGTTCGAAAAAAAGACCTTTTTCAAAGAAAAATGAAGTTTTGTTTTATTAATTTTGCATGATTTCAAAAAATTCAATAAACGCTTTTCATTTTGAAACCTGATGTGATACGATTCTTTCAAGTATAATCCTCAATTGAGTTTGAGGTAAGAAATTTTAACTACATACTGTGCATTCTGTGAATTTTATTTTTTTTTAATTTGTTGCACAGTGTTATTAATCGCCAATGAACAGTCGATTACTTACAATTCTTTTCCGGTGATCGTAATTTAAAAAAAAATACTGAAATTTCAAAATATGAGTTATGCAACCAAACATACAGTAAACATTTTTATGAATAAACATTAGTTGGATACTTGGATATGTCCTAATCATGACGGATGCATAAAGTGGATCGAAACATAGAATACTTTGGTCACAAGCATGCTATTGAGCCTTTTTGGGAAATTTCGGAGAAGGATGCAAGTAATACGGATTCAGGATACCTTACAACCAGCTTTCCAGTGCAGCAACCAAAAGACTCATCGTAGGTTTTTTGGTAAAGCATTTTGCTTCTTCCTGGAAGTAAATTTAGTGACCCCACATTTGCGTTTTCTACTTCCGGAAGAGTTAAAGAATCCATTTTTATGCAATTTCCCATTTTGAATCTTGATTTGGGAAATTTTTGACACTCAGAAATATGACATTTCATGCAAGGACGTGTATATCTGGTTGCCTAAAATCATGTATTAGTAGCCCTTATTATAGCCCCTAGAAAATACCATGGCCGACTAGTATAAAGATTATGGCCTGTCCAAAGGAATGCCAAAGCATGGCCGACTAGTATAAAGATTATGGCCTGTCCAAGAGGTACGATACGTGTTGCCATCTATTAATAATTACACTTAATAATTTAGCAAAATTTTAATTTGACTTGACATTATGGGACTTCAAAACGTGTAATGGTGGTTTGTTTCGGTATGAATGCCTTTGTGCCTTTCAAAAGGTGTTAATAATTCTTTTGTCGTTTTTGAATTATTAATAGATGGCAGCACGTAATGTACCTTTGACATTCCTTTGGACAGGCCATAATCTTTATACTAGTCGGCCATGGCCAAAGGTACCATACGTGCTGCCATCTATTAATAATTCAAAAGCGACAAAAGAATTATTAACACTTTTTGAAAGGCACAAAGGCATTCATACCGAAACAAACCACCATTACACGTTTTGAAGTCCCATAATGTCAAGTCAAATTAAAATTTGGCTAAATTATTAAGTGTAATTATTAATAGATGGCAGCACGTATCGTACCTCTTGGACAGGCCATAATCTTTATACTAGTCGGCCATGGAAAATACATAGTATCGTCACCGTGGAGCAAGCCTGGCGGAAACTTAGCAAAAATATAAATTATTGGCAACATTTGACAGACCGCGAAATTTAAAACGGTTTTATGTTGGATTTAAAGAGTTTGTAGTTTATATACAAAATTTGGATTGTTAATTTGAATAAAATTCAAAAAAATGTGTTGATTATATAAATATTAATTAAATATAATCAATAAAATTGTTATTTAATAATTATTAGTTATATTAATTGACTTTAGACAAGAATAACTTGCACGCTAAGACCACGTGACCATAACGATTTACGTGCTGTCAACCCTCTGCTGACAAAAGTTGGTTCCAAACTAGGAGAATTTTTTGCGTTACCAACTGCATTTGCTCCACTCGTACAACAATGGATGACGGTACCACAGAATATCATACAGTAATGACAGCTCGTCAAATATTGGAACAACGTGTCCTTACCCAACCGTTTTGATTAGGCGGGATTTTTGAAACGAAGTGGAATATTGGTTGCCTAAATTACAAATACAGCTCGTCCGTAAAACTATGTAAAAGGAACGGATATAAAGATCGGATGAATATTACTAAACTGAAACCAATTTTTGGAGTGTGGTATGAAGACTACGAAGAAAATACCACTTTGAACAATAAAAAAGAATTGCGCTTATATTTATTTTATTCATTAATAAAAGTCACTTTACCGAGTTAATTTCAACATAAACGTATCAACTACCTTCAATTTTCGCCAAGTGTGAACCGTTTGAAGAGTCAGAAAGTGAACGCTGTTGTTTTCATCTTCCTTGGGAAAAGTACTTTGATGTTTTTGGTTGAATTTTTCTTGTTAGTTAAATTAGTGAAGTGATTCTGAGAACCTTTTCATAGTAACATGGACTACAGTAGTAGACCACCTCGTGATTGCAGGCACAATGAAAAAACCTGCTTCAGGGGCTTCTTTAAATTTCCCTTGGAATCTGTAAGATAAGAAATATAAAGAAGTATATTATTCTATAATCAATAAAAAATTATTTGGTATGCAATTTTTACAACACAGTGAAAATTCCAATAGTTGTAATGATTTAGGATCTATTTTACTAGCAATTGAATCTAAAGAAAGTAACCAGTGTCAAATTATTAATACAGTTTTAAGCTGAACAGCTTTTGCACATAAATCTGTGGAAGTAAGTATGACAAACTACAGACATCTGGACATGGGGGAACAAAATTCTTTAAGTTATGTCTGTGGATACTTAATGAAGAAATGCTTGATGAAATATACCTGTGAAACATGTAGTTATTTTGCCGTTGCACGTAATGTCATCATATATGATAAACTTCTCTGTCACTTCAACGCCTTTGATAATGTATGATTGTATTGGATGCAACTGTTGTACAATTCTGTTAAAAAGCAGCAGTACACACACGTTACGACCTTGCAGTTAAAAATTTGCGATCGTGATGACAACATGTCTGACGAAATGACGAAAATGTACTTTTATAGCTGCTCTCATGGTTTGAATAACATACACTGTCGAGTCATGTCCACACATGATCAAATTTCCATCCAATACAACACGATTGCTGCTGCAGACAGACTTGTTCACCAACCGTCCACATCCAACCGAATTGCTTGATCGCGTACACAGACGTTCAAAAACACTCCAATTTCGTCATATCCAACACAATTGTTCTGCGGCGTTGAAACGTGAGTGGCGCGCTTAAGATGCTACATGAAGCATTCACCTTTTATGTTGCAGCCCTAGAAAAACGATTTGCTTCACTATTTTCTACCAACTCAATTTTACCTTCATGTGGCCGATATATAAAAGCATCCCTCGTAACTGTGTCCATACCAGCATACCGCACCCCTGTGCCCTGTGTACAGTTTCCACAAGATTATTTATTTTATTTATTTGTTCGAACGCGCATTTTCTATTCAGTAAAAATAATAAATCACCGTCACAATATTAAATACCAAACAACTAAAATGTCAAATTTGACGCACAATGTTGACATGGTGGTAAATTTTATTTAGTAACAAGGTTTGCCACTACAGTTTCTAGCCAAAATTCAAGGTCATGTCCTTACCCAACGGTCGATTATTGTTGTTCTAGTCCGTTACGTGTATTTCTTATGGGCGTTTCAAAAGCTGTCCTTACTGAATGATATGCTGTGACGGTACTATGTATTTCTAGAGGCTATAGCCCTTATTAATGAACGATTTTCGTACATAAATCATGCATTAATCGCCTCATTAATAAACGATTACCGGAAAAAATATTTAATCATTATTTTATAACATCAAAAATATCAAAATTATTTAACAACTTGTAGCTGCTATTAACTAGTTTGTAAACCAAAGATGTTACTTCTCAAGGTTCTGCTTGTGTTTTTGAAGGTTTCCGGGCTCCATGGGCCTAAAAATGTCAAGGAAATCATTAAACTTTAGCTGGAAGCTGGAACTCTTATTTTTGTCGAACTTTATGAGTTATGAAAATATTTCGACTTATTTAACGATTCTGATCACCATAACGCACTCACGATACACAGAATAGACTTATTTTGCGCAAAGGAGACGGTTGACTATATTTCCCACATCCTGGCATTGCAGATTGAAGAAATTCGTTAAAAAACTTCAGAAATGTTACTTTTGAATCGTTTTCTTGTGTTTTCTAACATTTCCGGCACCCAATACCAAGGTATTTAGTTTGATTTTAAGTGATAAATCAATCAGTTAATAATGTTAAGATTTTTTCGTTTCTTCTGTTAATAGACTGGTTCTGCATTTTAAATTTCCCGCCATATGATAAGACATATCTAAATTTGACTCGACAATACAAATTCGGCCCAAAAAAATAGGTCGTAAATCAAAACGAAGCACAATTTAGGTTAAGGAGGGTATACACATAACTGCAATCTTTTGCAGAAGTATGCTTGTCAAGCTTACAGTTACGTGTGTATCCTCCTTTATGTCAAAAGTCTAGAATGTCACAACACAAGTTGTATGTTATATGAGACGACCTACGTAATTTGGTGACGTAATGGGCAGCAAAACCTAGATCAGAAATTTAAAAAATCACCCGATACTAGCAATGTTTACTACTGGTAAGTTATTCCAAAAGAACATCTTTCTCGAGTTCTTATTTCCGTATGTCTTGCCCTCTAAATTACTCATTATTAAAGATGCGAAATATTTTATTAGACGTTTTATTACATGCTGTTCATTTTCAAAAGATATACTTTTCATTATTTGATAAGTTTTGAACACAATTTATGAATTCCAACGTCTGCCATTTAAGTTGGATAAATACCTACTATTTAAAGTAGAAAGTCGAGCTTACATCTATTTTACAAATTTTAAATTTAATATTCGCAAAAATACAAGTAATTAATTATAGAACGCTGTTAATAGATAATAAATGAAAAGACTATTTGAACAAACACATTACCAACCATTACTATTACCAACCTAATCTACAATTCCAGTTAAATTTTATTCTGTTACCGCTTTATTAACTAATATCAGACATGAGAATTAAACGATTATTTGCTATTTTAAACAAATTTTACCAGTAAATAAGCTATAGTAGAAGCAATAATTTTAGAACCTGATGATACTGGTGCCGAGTTGCAAAGTTCTCTGTCGCAATGATGGCATATGTTTGTTTTATTCGTATTTATATGAAGTTCGTCACAGTTTTTTATATTAGCAGCATTATTTATAATGCAACCTCTCCATGAAACATCTACATTAGAAAATATTAGTTATAGTGGAAATATCTAAGTTGCTAATAATATTTTACTTGCTGCATTTAGCTGCCACTTGCAAAGATAACGTTCAGTGGAAGTCTCATTTTTACATTTTTCTGTAGAAGTTAAGTTTTGACATTCGTCGACGCTTGTACAATTATAACAAGTATGGACGGCAAAAGCTAAAACAAAAGTTGTAGAGAAAGAATAAAGCTAATTAACACACTTACTGGCAGAAAAAGAAATAAAAAGAACCACAAGGAAAGTGAGATATACCATTTTGTACATTTTGGAAGAACGAGTGAGTGTAAGCATGTGAATTGTTGTTATCTTATCAGATATTATTTACTTAAGTTCACACAATAAAATTTTTATAAATCTGACAGAAGGCCATATACATTTTAACATAAATAATATACAAACATATTTATCTAATTATGTGAACTGAAAATTGATAAAATGCAACCAACAATACATTTACTTTTTTAAACTTCTTAAAAATTAAGTCCTGAAAATATTGCCCATTATTTGTTCCACAACAAGCTATTCAGTTCTATTTTAGAGGGAATATATTAATAATAATCATAATAATAATAATAGGTATATATTTGCCAAACAGCATAAGCCACAAGTAGGCAAAAGAAAAAAATACAAAATACATATATAAAAAACAATAAACAAATAAGTGTACAGATGCGCACAAAAATATATAGAAAACATATAAAAATTGAAAGCACAATAAAAACATAATAGAAACATCCAACAAGTAGTAAATATTTACAAGTAGTTGAACAAATTAAAAGTGTCTAATATAAACTAATTAGATAAAGATCAACTATTTTTTGCTAAACTCGAGAACAGCTTTACCTAGAATACATTTTAAGGAATCGAAGTTAAGGTCACAATCTTTCGCAAATATATTAAAGTTGGAGCAAGCAACCGTGATAGGCGATCTCTTTAGGGCATTACTTCTATTAAAGGTGCAATAAAACGTGCGACTACTTCTATTCGATAAACGAGGCACATAAAAATTAAGATAATCTAAAAGCAGGGGACAGTCAATATAAAAATTATTTAACTTATATACAAAATTAATGGATGATAGGACCCTCCTTGTTTCAAGTGACAATACTCCAAAGATAGACAAAAGGATGGAATGCTCAAAGTGTCTATGAGACACTTTGAGCATTCCATGTTGAAGAAATGTTGAAGACAAAATAGATGAGAATAGAACTAAACAGAAAACAAACAACATAGTATACATAATAAGAAGGCAATCAACACGCAAAGTGCATTTTATTAACTCCCAACGCAAGAAGAGGGGTGTTGTAACTTTGAAGCCTATAACTGTTTGTCTGTCTGTGGCACTGTAACTTCCGAAAAGATGAACCGATTTCAAGGCGTTGGTTTTTTGTTAACAGTTGGTTTAATCGGTATGGTTTTTAGCTATGTTTGATGATTATCACTTTTCAGTCATTGCAAGATAATATCAGTTCATAACACAGTTGGTGGTGTAGGAATAGCTCGGTTCGCACGAAGGTGAGTATAACGCGTCGACCGTCGCAACAAAGCTTAACCAATTTCTGTTTTTTAAGAACTAATTTTGTTGTGTCGAGTTTTTAACACTTGTTCTCTAAAAACCTAAGGACGAAAAATATTAAATGCGTCCAAAAATGGACAGTAAATGACATTTCTATGACGTCATTGGGGCTAGATATTTGACGAAAAATATTATTTCAACTTTTTCGTGAATATGACGCAATTGATGACCGTGAAAATGATGACACTATGCTGTCCGACCAACATTCACAATACAAAAACTTCACCCTAACATTTTTTAAGCAGGAAAAATCAAATTCTTTATCTTCTCATAACATATTTTGTATTTTTCTTATTTATCTATTTATAACAATCAATTTTAATAATAGGCATTCCTTATAAAACGTTATATGTATAGATTTTGGAGGTTATAATTCCATGAATCACCGTTTCCAAACTCAGAGAACTAATCAGTTGGAGAGACGAATTTTGACAAAGGCCATGCTTTGTTTCACCAAGTTTAACTCGAGCTTTTTTGGATATGGTGAGCACAAATTGTTGTGCCCATTTTAGGGTTTATTTTACAGACGAAATTAAAGGAAATAAGGTAACAATAAAAATTGATTCTCATGTCGCTATTTTTTTAGAAGAATATTGTAAATTGTAAATGGAATTAGCTTCTTTGTTTGTTATGTTGTGTCAAATTACGATAAATTATGCAGAATGTTAACTCTTTCACACTATTGGACTTTGCTGGTTGAGGAACAACTGTAATACCGTTCTCTGTATAGAGTAAATTCAACTCAAGTATACAGGGATACCTAAAACAATTTAGGAAACAATTTTTGCAGAGGTAAAAAATTGGATAGAATTTTTTTAATCGGTTACTAACTATACAGGTCTAGAAAAATGTTAAATATTCTTATTTACAATCATTTTACGTCCAAACATGTATTAAAAAAAATGCTGATATGAAAATAAATGCGGTAGAATATAACTTTTCCGCTCCAGACGAGCCAGATTCAGGGCCATTACAAAGGTCAGTATCACAAATAGTGCAATTCCCACCCGTTTGGTTGATGCGGTCGCATGTGCTTTGAAAGCTGCTATCAATTTCTGCACATCTTCTCTCAGTAGTTTGTTGTCCATCAGCTAAAAAATATGCTCCTAATAAGTAATTCTCTGTAATTTCCAAATACGACGTATCTTACCATCAAGATATTCCATTGCAATACATTTGCTTTGAGCGTTTTCACCAAGCAGTTCTTTACAATTTTGTATTTCCACAGAGTCACAAGTGCCTTCACAGTAGTAGCATTTATCTGCGAAAATTTCTTCGTTGTCTTCGTCTTTGTTACCATTGCAGAGATTAGTATCGCAAATAGTACAGTTACCACCTTGTTGGTTAATAATGTCACAGATGCTTTGGACAGTGCTGTTGATTTCTGCACATCCTCTTATAGTAGTTAGTTGTCCATCGTCTAAAAGTTCAACAATTTTCTACAATTTCCAAATGTTATGTATATTACTACCAATATATTCCATTGCAATACATTTGCTTTGAGCGTTTTCGCCAAGCAGTTCTTTACAATTTTGTACTTCCAAAGAGTCGCAAGTGCCTTCGCAGTAGTAGCATTCATCTACGAAATTTTCTTCGTCATCGTTCTTACCATTACAGAGATTTGTGTCACAAATGGTACAGTTGCCACCCTGTTGGTTAACAATGTCACACACGCTTTGAACAGTGTTGTTGATTTCTGCGCATCCTCTTGCAACAATTAGTTGTCCATCACCTAAAAAGTAGAATAATTTTCTGTAATTTCCAAATGTGACGTTTCTTACCGTCAACATGTTCTATTACAACACATTTGCTTTGCGCGTTTTCCCCAAGCAGTTCTTTACAATTTTGTACTTCCAGAGAGTCACAACTGCCTAAACAATAGTAGCATTCATCTACGAATTTTTCTTCATCTTCTTTGTCACCATTGCATAAGTCGGTATCACAGATTGAACACTTTATTTCGGGATACAAATTTGTTAAGCTACATGTCTGTCTAATGACGGTATCGTCAACGACACAACCCTTCGATATAACTGTTTCATCCTCCCTCTCGACTTGGTATGTCAGACAAGCTGCCTTTACGGGTTTACCTTCTATTTCTGTCAATATTTTGCAGTCGTGTTGTTCTGGTGGTGTGGCACATTCGTCAATGCAGACGTAGCACTTACTAACTCCTGTATCCTCTGCATTGATAGTAACATCGGTGTTACAAAAATCACCATCACAAGTGTAACATGATGTTACTTCGCCACTACTATCATCACATAGCGTTTCTAAAGTCATTTCCGTGCAGCCTCTAGTTTGAATGGTACTATTGTCAGCAACTTTAACAGTTTTAGAAAAACACTTATTAATTCCATAGCAGTTTGTAGTCGTAGGAAATGAACAATCGTCCTGACAGGTGTAGCATTTCCTCGAATCAACTTTGGATACAATTTCGTAAATCACATTTGACGAACAATTGTATGTTTTAAAACTATTAAAAACAAGAAAAACGAAGAAAAATAATTCTGACTTCATAGTGGTGAAGACTTGTCAAAACTAATTAAACGTTTACATTGAAGCATCATTTTAGTAGCTTTATCTTTTGGAATTTTCTTGTATCAAGTAATAAAATAGATAATTCGTGTATTATGTCTTATTAAATATCTTATTGTTTTTGATCTATTTATTGACAATAACTCTACGCAAAAGTGTAATGTGATGCCATTTTGTTCTAGAAAACTATTATTTCTATATACCAATAGTGTTCAAAATGATATAAATCTTGTCGTGTGTCGATGAGATATGTTTATTCTCTTTCTGCTTCACAGTATCCTAATCTAATCACTTTGAAAAATAAACTGATACCGAATGTAAAAAAGTAGAAAATCTTTATGAAAACGAAACGTGGATTTTTTTGTCCTTTAGAGAAATAACTTAAAGAATACTCCGTTAGTAAGTGCTAGGTATTCTGGATATTTAATACACAGTTGCTTACACTTATACCGGTGTCAACTGTTTGTTTTTCCGAAGACAAAGAATTAATAAGATCAGAAGTTACACAAATCTTCATATTACTGATCAGATTAGCTATTAATGATTATGTAGGATTATATTGATCCTTACAAGTGGAGAATTTGAATAAAAAATAGAACTATTAAATCTGTGTGATTAAAACTAATTCCACTCTAATTGACATCTTTTGTTGTAATTGTATTGTGAAATACTGAAAATATATAGTTATAAATTGTTTCAAACACTAAGCTTTATTTATGTAAACAGTATCACCATGAGAAACCTTTTGTATGTACAAATATTATTTTCTATTTCAATTACTGCTACAATATTTCCACAATAAAATTAATAACAAAAACATTTAAAGATGTACTTATTTATTTTTTGAACCGTCAATTAAATTTTTCCATTTATTTAATAATTTAAATATAACCATATATTATTACTTTTTTCTGTTTTATCAACATTTGTTTTTGTTTTTAGTTTTTTGATCATCTTATCTTTTTTTAATTTATTTGATGAAAATAGAGAAGGCATACAAAAAACATTTTTGGATCGTATTGTAGGTGATTCAAATTTGCATATACACTTATACAGTGTGGACCTGAAGCAAGAAACTCAAAAAATAAATTTCAAAAATCTAATTAAACAAGATAGAATTATTTTTCATTTTTGATATCTTCCTTTCAAGCCAGATTCATTCTGCTAATTTCATTTTAGGAAATGACAGGATGCCATTTTTTGTGATTACAATTTGTGTATTAATTGTGTAAATATATAAATTTTGGAGGGTTGTGAAATGTTCTATAATTTCTAGATTCTACATCTAATAAATAATAACAAATATCATGGTGATTCAAACAATTTCACACGAAAAATGAAAAGATAGGATGGTGTTAATCATATATATCTTGAAGCTTATCTTGTTTCTTTTCAATACATATAAACTTCATATCTGCTACCACCACGTGCGCTGATTATAACACTCCTTAATCGGATATTTTTTAATCATACTCATTACTCAATATGTGAGTGTATTTAGTATCAATTTTATTGCTTCCTTTTTGGTTTCCGCATATTTTGAATTCATATTTGTCAAGCTTTTTCCAGAGAAAAAAACAAACACTCATGAAAATTTCTGTTTCATTTAATTCATTAACTGATGAGTGATAAGCGAGGGAATAAAATCGAAGCAACGCTGAATAATATATGAATCTCAAAATTACATCCAGTTTGCCAAAATAAGTCAACATTTATTATTATTACCCTTGATCAATGTCTAAAGTGATAGTAATAATCCAGCATGTGTTGATAAATAGTCTTGTTAGAATAATTGCTAGGAAAAGATTATTCCGTACCACATTTTATTAACTAAATATATACTTACATAAGTTGATAACTATAAAATGATATTTATTGCATTTTAAAGGTTCTAAATGAATGGAATTAAAAAAATACTCTTTTGGCAGTTTAAACAACGGTTACTCTAAATACAAAAAAAAAGTTTAGCACGGATCCCCAAACCTAACGAGAATAGAAAAAAAACCAGTTTGATCTTAAAGTCAAGTTACGTTGGCTATCATCATTAAAATAAAAGTGACTACAAAGATATACAAAATAGGCTTTACGGTTCCACCTGAGTTGCAAAGGTCTTCATTGCAAAAGTAGCACGTTACGTATTCATATCCATTAAATTTTTCACAAAAATTTTCGGCCTGTTCGGAACTCATACATTGTTTTCGTGCTAACCTATCTACAAGGTAACACAAATAAGTGTTTCAGTTAAAACAATTCAAAACTTACCCGAGTCAGCTTGAACGGAAATACATTTTGTTTCTGTGTTTTCCCCATACCTAGTACTACAGGTCTCTACACCCCATCCAAGATCACATCGGTCGAAACACATGTAACATCGCTGAGCACTATAAACTAATTTTTGTCTCGTTATTAAAAAACAATGCTTAAAGCTATTTAATTTTATTCACTAACCTTCCTGAAAAGAAAAAAATAAAATAACGAAATATATGAACATAACAAAAATCTATTTTGCGATGCCTGTGGTGTAAACCTCTAGAAAAAAAGATAAGATAAAGCAGACGTCGTGATAAAGCTAGTTATTTGTATGACAATGCCATAAATTAAGTTTTTACGAGCCGATAGGCGATGCAAAAGACTTTTTGCACCGATTTTTATATGAATAAAATTGTCATTGAATTATATTGAATTTGATAGTACATAATCATGAAGATGAATGATTATAAACGGCCCTAGTAGCCTCCGGTCCTGGAAACGCGAGTTCGAATTCCGCTTGGTGCTGGACATTTTTACTTTCCGGGCGTAATCGAAGGAAGTATTGTAATAGGATTCATCTGTCGAGTGGTTACTTTCATGTTTTCTCGACGTTTCATGACCACAAGAGAACGGAAAATGCGGTCTTCCGTTTCCGTCTGCTTGTCGTCTGTCGTCTATCTGTCTGTCGTTTGTGAGGATTTTTATTAGACAAATCTCCGAAACTACTGGACCGATTTTCCAACCTTACCGAGTGTTTTTTTTACTGTGACTTATATTATGTATATTGTTGATTTATGCTTTATTCAGGAAACATGCAGCGACAATTTTTTGGTTTCTGATAATATCGATTCCTGGAAATGTCGTTTTCTGTTTCCACGTATTTTAAGTTGTTGATGAATTGCGAAATCACATTATCGGATGTTACCGCATGTCAAACAATTCGAAGCACTCACGATAATTATTTTAGCGGATTATTTTGCAGCCCATATTCAACAAGTATTAACATTTTATTTTAAATTATTGTGTAGATGGTAAAATATTAAACAAAATGTAGCTAATCACCTCAAAATTGTCTTAGTAAAATTCCATCCAAAATATGTGAAATATTATGAGCCTAGACTTGTGATTTATGATTGCATTCATATTTTTTTAGAATTATTTATACAAGATAACTCACATGAATGACGCAGTGTGCTCCGAAATCTAACTCAAAATGTGGGAGATATCGAGCGATTATAGCGAAATAAACTGAGGAGAAGAGAAGGCAGAAAAAATCGAAAGAAAGAACAACATTGTAATTAAAGGTGGGAAAATACAAGGAAACGAAACATCAAATGAGCAATACGTAGAGCAGCTTATAAAAGAAAAGATAGGAGGCCAGGCAAATATACAAGCGACTAGAGTAGTTAACGAGAAAAATAACATATTAATAGCTAAAGTTGAAACCTGGGATAGGAAACGAACCATTATGAAGCAAAAAAGCAAAATTAAAAGGAACAGAGCTATTCATAGATGACGATTATACGAAGAAAGAAAGCGAGATACAAAAAAAAGATAAGGGTGATAGCGGCCAGAGAAAAAGCGAAGGAGAGGGACACTAAAGTCGGATACAAAAAGCTGATACGCGCAGGGGAAGTTTGGCAATGGAACGGCAATCTCGATGCACTTGTAAAGAAACCTCTCCGACCTAAAGAGAACTCAAAAAACGAATATCCCAGAAAGTAACAAATAAACACCAGAAAAGGATGACGACTCATGCAAAGCATACGGAAAACGAATTAAGGAATAAAGACAAGAAAAACCAAAAGCCTAACATTGCATCATGGAATGTCCAAGGAACGTTCCAAGAAGGGGCACTAAGACAGCTTATATTAGAACTACAAAGGTATGAATAGCTATAGCAGCGATATGAGAGACTAAACAAAAAGGTAACAGCATAACAGAAATAGGGAATTACATATTCTTCAATAGTGAAAACGAGAATAGAATGTTAGGAACATGATTCCTCGTAAGAAAGAACTTTGAAGGAGTAGTAGCCACGGTCAAATCGATCTCCGAAAAATCGTGCGACTGCGAAGCAGGAAGTAGATATAGAGAAATTAGCATGATAAATATTCACGCACCCACGCAAGAAAAAAACCTAGGAACAAAAATGAGTACTATGAAGAATTAGAGAAAGAATACCAGAAAATACCAAAATATGACATCAAAATTGTTATAGGACACGCGAACGCCAAAATAGGTAAAGAACAGAGATATCGACATGTAATCGAGAAAGAAAGTAAACATGAAGAAACAAACGAAAATGGAGAAACGTTAATAGAATCCGCACAGGAAAACAGCATGACGGTAAGCACAGTTTTTGCACGCAAAGAAATACATAAAGGCACTTGCACATCTCCAGATGGCAATACGATCAACTAAATAGATCATGTATTAATAGACAAAAGAAATGCACCAACATAAGAAGCTATAGAGGGGCCGAATCAAGTACAGACCACATTCTAGTAGTAGGACCATTTTATTTAGATTATAGCCGGAAGGAGGTGAATCTCTGAAAAAGCATTTTATTTTAGAAGTTTATTGTTAGTGATACTGAGTGTCTTTGCCTGTTAGTGAGTGTGCTGGGGCCGGTTTTGATTTTTGTGCATACAGTAAAGAATCTTCAAAATGCCTAAGGTAAAATCATCCATGAAAGATAAAATCAAATTATGGTTAGGGAATAATTTGGACACGAATTTTCAATTTCCTTCTTCAACCAAAGACAACGAGTTATTCTGCAAAGTGTGTGGAAAAGTTGTAAGTAAACATTTAAAATACTGAAGCTTGAATTATGTTCACATTTTTGTTTCCTAGTTTAAGTGCAAAAAAAATCACACTTTGAACAACACTGCAGTGGCGATGCACATAAAAAGAACGAGAATAAATCCAGTAAACAGACTTTATTAAACATTAGTTCCGACAATGATTTTACGCAATTTTGCGCCGATTTATGTAAGGCATTGACTGCAGCAAATACTCCATGGAATAAAGTTAGTTGTCCTGAGTTTAAAAATTTTATGCATAAATATACAGGAAGGCATTTACCCTCAGAAAGCACTCTGAGAAAAAATTATTTACCAAAAGATTACAATATGGTGAGCACTAGAATTTTTATTTAAAAACTTTTTAACGTAAATTTTATAATTTACAGGTAATTACACAAATTAGCAATTCTATTGGCAATAATGATATATGGATTAGCGTCGATGAAATGACGGACAGATTAGGAAGATACATAGCCTATTTAGTAATTGGAAAGTTATCTTCTGAAGAAGCTGGCCGTCCATTTCTACTAGCTTTGAAGCAGCTTGATAAAACTAATAGCAACACAATCTCGACATTTATAAACGAATCATTGGGTGTGCTATTGATAATTTTAAGCATTGAAATTATTATAATTTATTTAATTGTTATTTTGTAGGTTTATTGTGGCCAAAAGGAACTGAACACAAAAAAGTTAAATGGTTTGTATCAGATGGTGCTTCATACATGATCAAAACTGGTACTAATTTGAAGGTGTTTTATGAAAATATAACTCACTTAACATGTACGACACATGGGTTACATTTAGACTGAATTATCCAGATGTCAATGGGATAATTAGCAATGTTAAGAGAATCTTTTTAAAAGCACCAGTAAGAGTAGAGTTTTATAAAAACAGTTTGCCAAATACACCTCTCCCACCTGTATTAACCAGGTGGGGCACTTGGATTCAAGCAGCATTATTTTATGCAGAACACTTTGATGTTTTAAAACAAGTCAGTAAATATATAATGTTTTTTTTTACTATCATTCTTATATTGAATATTTTTAGGTTGTAATGACATTTGAAACCACACAAAGCATTAAAAAAGCTCAAGAATTCCTGAATAAAGCAAACATTAAAAATGAACTATTGTACATTAAAACTCACTTTAAAATTATTGCTGATGCAATAGAACAATTAGAAGCTATAGGTTTAAAATTAAACCAAAGTATGGAAATTGTGGAAAAAGTGTTCCAAAAATTATGTTCTGTATTAAAAAAGAATCCAGGATACCATTTTATATGTTCAGTAAATAACGTAATTTGCGGTAATGGAAATGCTACCAACAATGCATACGTAAATGAAAACGTAGATTGGTCAATATTTAATTTTGCACCCATCACTTCTTGTGATGTGGAACGCACGTTTTCAAAACTTAAAAGTGTTTTAAGCGATCAAAGGTGTAAATTTACAATCGAAAATTTAGAGAAATACATAGTTTGCTCTTGTAACTCATTTTAAATATCTGAATTAATATTTTATTTTTTGTTAAATGCGACTTGCTTTAATTTGATCACCATTTTTTGCGATAAGTTAGAATTGGTGGACGTAACTATAGATTTATTTAATCATTTTTTTGTTTGTTACACAAAATATTTGTTTCTATAACGTTTTGTTTAATGTTTTTTTTAAATATATATTTTTTTGATGTATGCTTTTTCGTTGAGCAGATATTTTTTCCTCCAGGTTTTTAACCTAAACTAAGATTTTTTTAACCTAATTCGTCAATTTTGGGACCTAAAATCTCTCCTTTTGTTCATTTTTTAACGACCTAAAATCCGAACCCTACTTATCAGAGAAGCAAAACGGATGGGATAAACGAAGAGAAGACAAAACTAATGTAAATGACTAACAAAGAAGACTCACAAAAAACATTGAACATAACCGCGGAAGATGGTGGGAAGAAAAAGAAAGGACGACTAAAAATGTGATGGCTGGAAGACGTGAAAAAGGATCTATGGGAAATGGGTATCAAAGATTGGAAAAGCAAAGCAGCTGACGGCACCCAATGGAGAGCCATCGTCAGAAAAACTCAGGGCCTTCAAGGCCTGCAGGGCTAATACCAATATCTATAACTCACAAAATTAATGATTGAGGCAACCTATTTTATTCATTACTCACCCTATTTTCCCGAAAATTTGAGTACTGTTACGATTTTTTTTTGGAGTCGAGGGTGAAAGGGGCTTAGACGAAGTCTCGCTCGATGGTTTTAATCGGTCGTAGCGAACGCCTGTCACCGATCTCGACCTCTTTTTTTATTGCGGATTGTCGCCGGCAGCTCCGCCAAATTTTGAGTTTTTTTTGCCTCTACGAAGTAGTACTGGCGGGGACGGAGACGGCCAAGCGAGAGGTGGGGGTGCAAAGTGAGAGAGAGTGAGAGTTGGTGCCGTGAAGAGGTGATTTGAGTTTGGCGAGGTTTGACCTGATGGTTTCCTTTCTTTTTTGAGAGTACTCAGTTCCATAGATTGATAGTGAGGCGTATCCCTTGTATAAGGTAAATTTCGTGCCTTTTGCCGCATGTAGGCTTATTGCTCCACCTGTAGGGTCCACGCCAGGGGCGAAGTTTCGGAGCCGTACAGAGGCGACGTAGAGGGCAGCGAAACGAGGGAAATTTGCTGGGCGTAGCGCCAGCTAGGAGACCCGGAGTTTTTGGATGATCGCGACGTCGAAGACGCGGACCTGGTGAGTTGAACATCGGGGGATCCAGGCCGCGGCAGGACTTGGTCAGCGCGTCGCCGTCGTCCTGTGGGAAGACTCCTGTTTTTTTGAGCTACGAGTAAAAGAACACGCCTTATCGCGATCGGAAATTTTCTTATCGTTTGTCGCCAGACCCAACCGTTTTTTTTGCGTCTCTCTCTTTCACTCTTTACATGCTTTTCAACGTTTTTTCAAATTTTCACGTACCCGCATAAATTTGATGGCGCCCAATTTTTTTATTTGTGAAATAGTCAGCATTTCCTGTAACTAGCTAGTAGACCGTTGTTGCGTAGTAGTTCGTCAGTTCATTTGTTGTGGTAATTCGTTACTGACATTAGTTGTAGTTTTGTTACCTTTTACTAACCTAGATAATATTTTTTTTTGTACTAAAAGCCCTAAATATTTTAATTATTATACAGCTCGCCAAAATAATTAGCCTTTCATTCTGAATTAAAATCTCGGATCCACCTACCGGCTCTCCCGGAAGTGAGCACGGGCAAGTGTATCTTCCCTCGCTTTTATAGCAGAGACGACGTTTTAAGGTAACACAATTGGCGCTCAAACGTGGGGCGTTCTTAAAATTATTTTGGCTAGCTGGTGCGTTTTCGCGAATTGAAAGAGAGAGCAAACTATTGTTTGGCGATGGAAGCATTAGGAATTATTGTAGATTATCTGTCAGACTACGAGGTAGAATATGAGTTGCTTATTAGGCGTGTTAGGACTAGTAGGCCCGTGAAGGAAAAGCGGCGACTCTTAGAGCACGAGTTCCTCAAAGAAAAAAGTACTCCTCTTAATATCTGTGTGGAGAGTTTAGATTTTGAAACTGATCGGGGCGAAATTGAGACCACTTTGGAGTCAGTAACGACATTGATTTTGGAATTTGAGTCAGGATCCATCACCGACTCTCTTTGTCGGCGGATTGCGTCGCGATTGAACCATGTTCGTGGTCGTATTATGCGGATGCCTACTTCGGAGACAGACCTAGATACTACAAGGGGGGTGCGAGACGAGTTGTATGCGACATGTTTGACTTTGGAGGCGGATTTGCGAGATCGCATCGTCACTTCGCCCGGTTACAGTCCTTTATCTCTGCTTTGGGTTCCTAGCTCTCCTGGTTCTTCAAAGGAAAGCACATCGAAGGTAGTTCCGGTCTGCAAATGGGGCCTTACTTTTTCAGGGGAAGCTTCCGATGATTTGTGTGCGTTTCTTGAACGAGTTAAAGAATTAGCGGTTGCCAGGAACGTGTCTTCCCGTGATTTATTTCGTGATGCTGTAGATCTCTTTTCTGGTAATGCTCTTATATGGTACCGCTCTGTGCGTGATCGACTTTCGGACTGGAATTCCTTAGAAAAATCTCTCAAGAAAGACTTTCTACCTAGCGACTATGACGATGTGTTGTGGGCCCAGATTAGACAGCGGTTTCAGAGAAACGATGAACAGGTCGTTATTTATTTCGCGTTAATGGAATCCTACTTCGGTAGGTTGTCTGAGACCCCTCCTGAGGAAGTGAAAGTTCGGTGGCTACGACGTTTGATCCGGCCCGAGTACGTCACTCCGTTGGCGCTACACGATGTCGGGACGGTACAACAACTTCGTGACCTGTGTAAGAAGCTGGAATCATCCTCTCTTTCCCACCCCGTGTCGAGACAGATATCGAAAACCCCAATTTCTTCTGTAAGACCAGGGTTATCACTGGTGGATGCAGTAGGTCCTTCAGCGTCGCCTGAGAGTACGTCGTCAACTAGAGAGGAGTTAGATAAACCGAAGAATGAGGGCAAACATCGTTTCCGGAAAGCAGGTAGGCCTGCGAAAGTCAGTTCCCAGACTGAAGAACGAGTGAGGTGTTATAATTGCGGGGAACTTAATCATTTCCATGCGTATTGCACCCAGGAGCGTACGCGTTTTTGTTACAAGTGCGGGACTAAAGGTGTTATCACTGCGGACTGCACTAATTGTCAGCCAAAAAACTAGGTAGGGGCGCCGTTCCGGCTGGTCGTAACCACGCACCCCTTATCAAGACCAGCGAATCACCTCGACAGTGGACCCGTTGGCTCGATTTTGTCAGAGCTTTTTGTAGGTCGCCGACAATGACTCAACTTAATACGGTCTGCCTGGACAACAAGGACGATCATCGACCACGTATCGGGGTACGTCTCGGCCAGACAGCGTTGACCGCCCTTCTAGACTCGGGAGCTACTAAGTCTGTCATCGGTGCGAGATGTTCCTTCTTGTTAGACCACCCTCGCGTAGTAAAGCGCCAATCTAGGTATCGGTTTGTTCGCACTGCCGACAGACAACCACATGTTGTTGACTGTGAGTTGTCACTGGATGTTTTGTTTGATTCCGTCACCAGAAGTTTATCGGCTTTGTACGTTCCTTCCCTAGCGGTAGGATTGATCCTAGGGAATGATTTTTGTGATGAATTCGCGGTAAAAATAGATTATCTCACCCACACATGTAGTGCCCAGGTAAAATCGTTACCCCAAATATGCGCTCTTGGACCTGACACGGGGGTAGTAGATACCACTCATGAGGCCCGCATGATGAAGGTTATCACAATGTTTGGAGAAATTGGCGGCCCCGAATTAGGAAGAACAGATAAGCTGTCGTTGTCCATCGATACAGGCAACTCACCACCTTTTAAACAGTACCAATACCCTCTGTCACCCTATCTTCAAGGCATTTTGAACAAAGAGATTGACGAGATGATTAATCTTGGCGTCATTGAGCCGTCCCAGAGCCCATGGTGTTCGCCAGTGCTGCTAGTTAAGAAGAAGTCCGGGGAATATCGCTTTTGCTTTGACGGTCGGAAACTAAACAGCGTGACGAAGCACGACTCGTATCCGCTTCCCAGGATAGACCGGATCTTGAATCTTCTACGCGATGCGCGGTGGATCACTACTTTAGATTTGAAGAAGGCCTTCTGGCAGATTCCATTAGATGAAGCCTCAAAAGAGAAGACGGCTTTTGCGGTACACGGTCGAGGTCTTTTCCAATTTTGTGTTATGCCCTTTGGACTACGAAACTCCGCCCAGACCCAGCAGCGTTTGATGGATGCATTGTTTGGTCCACAGTTTGAACCAAACATCTTCGTTTACCTGGATGATCTCATTTTGGTCACCTCCACCTTTGAAGAACATTGTCGCCTGTTAGGGGAAATAAGAGGACGACTTAGAGAAGCCAAATTAACGATCAACGTTGAAAAAAGTAAATTTTTCCAAACCTCCCTCCGCTATCTTGGGTATGTCATTGACGCGGAAGGCCTGCGTACCGACCCCGAGAAGGTTTCCGCCATGTCCTCATATCCCCGTCCGAGGAATGCTACGGAGATCAAACGCTTCATGGGACTCTGTAGTTGGTATCGCCGCTTCATCCCCAATTTTTCGTCGCTGGTGTCTCCGATGAACGACCTGTTAAAAGGGAGGAAGAAGAAACAAGAAGTGTTGTGGGACGACCGAGCGGAGAAAGCTTTTACCGCCGTCAAGGAAGCTCTAATTGCAGCCCCAGTTTTGTCGCCTCCAGATTTTTCTCGGCCTTTTACAGTACAATGTGATGCTTCGGATACGGGTCTAGGTGGTGTGCTGACACAGGTAATAAACGGTGAGGAGAAGGTAATCTGCTTTGCGAGCCGATCGCTATCTAAAGCGGAGAGGAATTACTCGGTTACGGAGCGCGAGTGTTTAGCCGTCATTTTTAGCATAGAGAAGTTCCGGCCATATGTGGAGGGGTCGGAATTCACTGTCGTTACTGATCACCACTCGCTGCTATACTTATTTCGCATGAAAAACCCAACAGGTCGCCTCGCCAGATGGATCCTCAGATTACAACAATTCTCGTTTGAGATCGCACATCGTAAGGGACAATTTCATATCGTCCCCGACGCCCTGTCACGTAGTACACAGCCCCAGGAGGGAGGTCGATACCAAGAACCCGACGTCGCCCTTATCGACCTCGAACCGTGTGAGCGTGACCAGTGGTATCGTCGCATGCTACAGAGAGTAGTCGATCACGGCGACGTTTACTCGAACTGGGACGTCATCGATGGTAAACTGAGGAAGTTTATTCCGAGCAAAGCACCTTTGGAAGCCAACGAGAGGCAGTGGAAATTGGTGGTGCCGAAGTCTCGAAGAAGCGAAGTAATGAGGTCCTGTCATGACCCGCCAACGGCAGCACATTTTGGGGTCTACAAGACTCTTCAGAGAGCTCGAAGTGAGTATTATTGGCCCGGTATGCGCCGAGATGTGGGCAGGTATGTGAAAGGTTGCGGCCCGTGCGCGGCCCAGAAGATTCCCCGAGCTGCCCCGTTTGGTCTCCATGGCCGAGAAAAGATAGCGCGTTTTCCTTGGCAAATTATAGCCCTGGATTTCAAAGGTCCTTTCCCCCGTAGTCGTTCTGGCCATAAATACATTTTAGTGGTAGGTGATTGGTTTTCCAAATATACTCTTCTTCTGCCGATTAAGAGAGCCACTGCCCGTCCCGTCTTAAAGTTTCTAGAAGAAAAGGTTTTTCTCGTCTTCGGAGTACCGCAATGCATCATTGTGGACAATGGGAAACAATTCATTGGAAACGCTTTCAAGAATTTTGCGAAGTCCTACAACGTCCAGAAAATCTGGTATAACGCCAAATACCATCCACAGGCCAATTTTGTAGAGAAAACCAACGACACAGTGGGAACGGCTCTGCGTATGTATGTGAAAGAACATGATAATTGGGATCTAGAGATACCGAAGATCCAGTGTGCAATCAACACCTCTTGCCACGAAAGCACACGCTACACCCCGTCATTTTTGAATTTTGGAAGGCACGTTCCTTTGTCTGGAGACTATTATGGAGCCCTGTCGGCAGACGAAGGCGACGAAATCGATTTCACCGTGGCGGACCGTCGCGATTACGCGGATAACTTGGATCAGCTGAAGAACGTCTTCCAGGAAGTCCGAAGAAACCTCCACAGGGCCCATGTGAGACAGTCACTACGTTATAGTACTTCTCGGAAGGACATAACCTATGACGTGGGTGATAGGGTCTGGAGGAGAAACAAAGTGTTGTCGTCTGCAGGACAGCGTTTTATGGCGAAACTTGCGCCCAAGTACGTCTTAGCTACGGTTACGGCGAAGGTTTCCAATTTAGTGTATCGTGTGCGAAATGAGGACGGCTCGGATGCCGGAAATTGGCACGTGAAAGATCTGAAGCCTTTCTATGACCGTACCGATACAGAAGATGGATCTTCCTCTGAAGACGAGGAACGAGTTTCTACCTCCGGAAGCAGCGATTAGTACACGAGCACATGCAGCATTTTGTCTCGAACGTACGACTCCTTACAACTCGTTGTCGGTACTCTTGGTCCTGTTTATTAGTAATCAGAAAATCTCGAGAGTTGTTGATTGGGTTTGGCTTTGACAGTAAGTAATTTTAGAAGCCATTAATCTGTTCGCTTTTTACCCCAGGTAGGGATGCGCAGTAAAAGAAAAGCCGTCGTCTTTTCTTTCCTTTTCGGAGAGGGGCCGTGTTACGATTTTTTTTTGGAGTCGAGGGTGAAAGGGGCTTAGACGAAGTCTCGCTCGATGGTTTTAATCGGTCGTAGCGAACGCCTGTCACCGATCTCGACCTCTTTTTTTATTGCGGATTGTCGCCGGCAGCTCCGCCAAATTTTGAGTTTTTTTTGCCTCTACGAAGTAGTACTGGCGGGGACGGAGACGGCCAAGCGAGAGGTGGGGGTGCAAAGTGAGAGAGAGTGAGAGTTGGTGCCGTGAAGAGGTGATTTGAGTTTGGCGAGGTTTGACCTGATGGTTTCCTTTCTTTTTTGAGAGTACTCAGTTCCATAGATTGATAGTGAGGCGTATCCCTTGTATAAGGTAAATTTCGTGCCTTTTGCCGCATGTAGGCTTATTGCTCCACCTGTAGGGTCCACGCCAGGGGCGAAGTTTCGGAGCCGTACAGAGGCGACGTAAAGGGCAGCGAAACGAGGGAAATTTGCTGGGCGTAGCGCCAGCTAGGAGACCCGGAGTTTTTGGATGATCGCGACGTCGAAGACGCGGACCTGGTGAGTTGAACATCGGGGGATCCAGGCCGCGGCAGGACTTGGTCAGCGCGTCGCCGTCGTCCTGTGGGAAGACTCCTGTTTTTTTGAGCTACGAGTAAAAGAACACGCCTTATCGCGATCGGAAATTTTCTTATCGTTTGTCGCCAGACCCAACCGTTTTTTTTGCGTCTCTCTCTTTCACTCTTTACATGCTTTTCAACGTTTTTTCAAATTTTCACGTACCCGCATAAATTTGATGGCGCCCAATTTTTTTATTTGTGAAATAGTCAGCATTTCCTGTAACTAGCTAGTAGACCGTTGTTGCGTAGTAGTTCGTCAGTTCATTTGTTGTGGTAATTCGTTACTGACATTAGTTGTAGTTTTGTTACCTTTTACTAACCTAGATAATATTTTTTTTTGTACTAAAAGCCCTAAATATTTTAATTATTATACAGCTCGCCAAAATAATTAGCCTTTCATTCTGAATTAAAATCTCGGATCCACCTACCGGCTCTCCCGGAAGTGAGCACGGGCAAGTGTATCTTCCCTCGCTTTTATAGCAGAGACGACGTTTTAAGGTAACAGTACATATATAATGGTCAATTTCCGTCATGCTAATGCTACGCAAAATTGTCGAAAAGGGACCACAATCTTAGCTTACGCGTTACCGTGAAATAAATAACCTCTATACATATTCACAATATAGTTTTCGAAAGAATAAATCAGCATCTGTAGCAGTACCACAGATTGTTTTAAAAATTAATGAAGCTTTCGAAAAAAAAATGTTTTTTTTTTAAATAGTTCTAAAGCACTTGATTACATGTCACTTGATATTCCTAAAAAGAAGTTAATTTCATGTGACATTGACAAAACGTCACAAACTTAATAATGCTTATTTACTTCTCATTTTCTCTGTTACCTCCGGGATACCACATGGAACTGTGTTCGGTCCCATTATCTTCCTGTTGTATGTCAGTGATATTTAGAATGCGGTCAGTGATCGAGAGACTGTACTCTATGCCGATGATAAAACTGTGTTAAAATATGATTATTGTTATTTGGAGTTCTTAAATGATACTACCATGAGATCGAAAAAGAAATTAGTCAAAGTTGGCCATGCACGAAAAGCAGTTTGTCTTAGTTTAAAGTAATTTTTTATTACACGTCACGTTGACAAAAGTAATTTGCAATGAAATTAAAGCTTTTTTGTTGGAACATTATTATGTCAGAAATGGGACAAAAGTGGAAAACGGTGATTTTGATTCATTTTTATGTGTTTTAAAAGTAGTGCCAATTTGACATTTAATAAAAAAGTTTAAAATACCACAAACTGCTTGTCGTGCATGACCAACTTGAACTAATTTCTCTTTCGATCTCGCGGTATTTATATTACTATGTAAATGACGTGTGTGAACACACATATTTATGTGGCTAACACAAAAGTACCATTATTATTGCTATTATTGTTATTATGGTACAGTACTGTTAGTAGTGTTACTGTTATTATAGGTACTACACTGCACTTATTCAAACTGATATAAATGTCCTTGCTAAAATATTGATGACATCATTACAAATTTGTTGTTGTTGTAATGGAAAAAGTCACTCGAAACATTCACATAGCATGTTTCTTTAGCTGTACTCCAACAGTCCAATATATCCAAATTTTACCATTAGGGGTTATAAAAAGAGTCTGTATTTGTTGGCTTCTATACACTTTCGAGGCGAGCCGAGTTCTATCTAAATAACTTTAAATCAATTTTTATTACTATACTGCACCTATCCAGATTAATGCAGGTGTTCTTGCAAAAACTTTGACGTCATCATAAAGTTTTGTAACGGAAAAACTCACTTGAAACATAAATAAATAAATTCTCTTATTTGTTAGTATTTCATTAGGGGGAAACCCATGTATTCTGAAAAATCAGTCTCAACAATTTTGTGTTAAATTTATGGCGACTACACCGTCAATTCTCGTCTTTTTAGCGATTGTCAGTTTTATTGTAAGAATGTGAGTATCAAATTGTTATCTAAATTTTTATTACACTAATTAAATGACAGCTAATACTTTCATATTTTTATTACTTTACAAAAATAAAGCAAAAATGAAAGAGGTTGTCGTAGCACTAACAATTCTGGTGTTTCTTATTCAAGGTAAAAAAACAATTTAAAAATCGAATTGTCGTTATTTTTAACAGTTTTAGGTCTTGACGTGGAAGAGTGTTACGTTTGTTTAGAAAAATGTGATGTTCCTTTACAAAAGCAGAAATGTCAAGAAAATCAGAAAGTGAAATGTTATAGCATCGAAATCGTATCCAGTTAATAAAAAATGCTTGTTTACATAACACAAATTCTATAAACACCAGAACTGTCAAACTGTCTTTAACTACATATCACGTTAAAAACGTTTTAACGTTGTATTTATTTTTTATAACAAGTTTTTCAACGAAGCACATCCAACAAATTTCTAAAAATATTCTACCAGAGTTTTGGCGTTTTTGGAATTTTCTGTGGCGCATGATCATTTAATGTTGATTATTGTAGGCGATATGACGTGGGTTGAGAAAGGATGCCTTCCTGCACATGTTGCTGATACAGAGTGTTTTAAAGCTAATAAAAATTTTGGAACAACCTGTAGAATTTGTGATCAAAACTTGTGCAATGGTAACAAACACAATATTTTTGATGTAACATACAAATTATTAATTTCTGTATCAATTCTAATGTATTATGTCTAAGATCAATACACTATCTTATTTAAAACAGACCTTATACAATCTATGAAGAAACTGGTATCTAGGATTGACAACGCATTTCATAATTTTTTTTTTTTTAAACCAGACGAAACAAAATTCTACCCTACATATTTAAGTATAACGACAATGATAACAAAGTATCAAATGTTTACAAATTACTGCAAGATACGTGCAAGACACAACACATTTAAAATAACAACACCTATTGACAAGGAGAGTTCTGCAGCACCGTTACCATCATCGTTATTGGGATCTTCGTCGGTGTAAAGCAGGTTATCACTGTTGCATTTATCACTTGAACAAGAATCACACTTAACAATTCCATACTGTCGATACTGATCAGTTAAATACGTGCAAACTTCATTTCTCGATTCAACACATCCCCTGTAAGTTCCTAGAACACTACTCGTTAATATTTTCTTAATTTGAAGCAAACTAATTTACCATTTTCTGTAAGTAGTGTGAAGCATTCAAACTCTAAAGGTAACACAGTAGATATAGTTTGCTGCTCTTCCGCTTGGGTTTCACAATCTGTAGTTTTGATGTTGTTCTGGATCGGTGAAAGGCAATTACCGTAGTCTTCGGGACTGCAGTCATAACAAAATTTGCTTGAAAAAACTACAATAACGTCCTTTATTACATGTTGAAAAATAAAACATCATATTGGTACTTACCACACGAGAAACAAGAAAAAATCACAAAGAGTAGGAGCATAATGTTGACACAAGTGTCCACCCAGATAAGGATTATATAACTATGGGATAATACACAGAATTTGTGCACAATTAATGAGACGAGTTTCTTGAAATTTTAGAATTTCACTTATTGAATAAATTGTAAATAAATTTACGCAAATTTGTAAAGAAGTTTGAAGCAACTTCCACTTTTACATAAACTGTAGTACAATTCGTGTCAACTAAGTACTTTATCTGTTTCAGTAGAGATAAACGATTTCAAGGAAAACTTCAATTTCGTATTGATAACATTATTATCTCTGTTAGGTATTACTTCCCGACTCTAATTTTAGGAAATATTCTGACAGAGCCCGTTAATTTCATGTTCTATCACCATTTTTTAGCTTCCACGAAAACTAAGTAAATCCTATTGAAATGTTTGTATCTTTGTAATTTATTAATATGGCCCTATTTTGAATTTAGTGCATGCACGTGTTTAAAAAAAATTAAATAAAATTCTCCAACAAAATTTTGCTGTTTAACCTGCTTTGTTGACGACGATTTCCAGATTTTAAAATCTTAAAAGTTTATACTGTATCATGCTACTATATTTGTGTGTTGTATTTTTAATAACATGTTTACGGTTTATTTAAATAGTGTATTAAAAAACATGTTTTATAAGTTCCATTATTATCACACGAGTTCAAGTTTGTAAACGAGCTGTTTGCGGCGAGTTTTTACAAAAAATGACTGCACCCTCTAAAACAAGTTTTTTAATATTATTTTTCTACTAAGGAAATTTAACATCCTTATTTTAAAAAATCATCAAAATAAATTTAGTTACACAGTTGACAGCTTTAGTTGGCATCCATGCAAGTTACTGTCGAATGTTGCACACCGACTTCCAACAAATGCCAAGTTTGACGTTAAATTGAAAAAACAAAATTTGTGCCCCCCGAATGCCTTGACATCTTCCAGATGTTTTAAAGTTATGTAAAGCATAATAAATGTTTAGTCAAAATATCCAAAATAGTTATCCACAAAATTGATTACGTCAGCTCAAAATTTTGCTGAATAAATCCCAACTAAAATGCGCAAAATATGACGAGTTTTTACTTGTGACTTATCAATCCATTAATATTTTTTGGATTTGCTTACACAAAGTGACTCAAAACAATTATTATTGAATGCGTGAATTTATTTTATTGGTTTGATCAGGAACTGCAAAACCGAATGCTTTGAAATCTTGGAGACGTTTTAAAGTTATCATTAGCATGGTAAATTTTTGATCAAAATGGTTTTGCTCATCGCCCCTAAAAATGATGACGTCACCTTAAAATATTGCTGAATAAATCCTATCTTAAATGTGCAAGATATGATGAGTGGATACTTGTGATTTATCACTGCATTAATTTTTTTAGGTTCGGTTATACAGGGTGTCTCAAAAAATTAATGACTGAGTCAATGTATTTTATTGATTAAATCAAGAATTACAAAACTGAATACTTGGAAATATTGCAGACGTTTTGAAGTTGTTGTAAGGATGGTAAATTTTTAATCAAAATGTATTTGTTTATCATCCCCAAAAATTGATGACGTCATCTCAAAATTTTGCCGGATAAATCCTACCTAAAATGTGCAAGCATATTTAATTTGGTTATTACAAAAATACGATTTCTTCTTCGACTAACCGTTTGTTGACACGTTTCAATAATTTACGACTTGCATCCAAGCAGCCACCTGCACAAAGAGTTGCCGTCTGATTTTTGTTTGCAGTATCGTTTCTCATTCTTATTTTGCTTTTTTTTATCGTTCAATAATATATAAGTAAACCGCACACTTTTGAAATTACTACATTTGCATTCACATGTTTTCGATTTGCTTATACAGGGTGATGCAAAAGAAATAATTAATGACTCAATTTATTTTATTGATTAAATTAAGAATTTGCAAAACCGAATGCCTTGAAATCTTGCAGACGTTTTGAAGTTATTGCAGGTATGGTAGATTTTTAACCAAAATATATCTCTTTATCCCCCAAAAAACTGATGACGTCATGTCAAAATTTTGCCGAATAATTCCTATCTAAATTGTACAAAATATGATGATTTAATCAAGAACGGCTCACTGTATTTTTCCCAAAATTTTTTGGGGGGGGGGGATATAATACGTTATTAATAGTATTACTGCATCAACCTAAGTTGAAATACGTGTTCTTGCAAAAATGATGATTGACGTCATCACAAAATTTTGTAAAGTAAAAACTGGCTTCTCATAAAAATATCGGGTGTCCCAAGTAACAATTTCGGGCGCAATAACTCAGGTATTTTTGAACGTCATCAGGATATTTACCAGTTTATTTATAATTGATCATAACTAAGTATATCAAGTTAACTTTGCAACTATGAAATATAGTAGGCTCTACTCTTTTCTATTTTGTATTACAAATGTCATTGTACTCTTAAAGCATGGCTTACAAAATCGAATTACGAAAAGCAATATATGAGTTGGTTGGCCAAATGCCAAACGTGAAATTGTAACCATTTTTGAAAATTAAAATATTTCAAAAACAACTATTTATCGGACTATAAAAGAATGCGAGGAAGGAATACCAGTGTTAATTTGCAAAAAAGTGGTCGACCACGAATATTTAATAGGAGAAGGCAGCCGTTAAAGATAAGATAGGAAAGTATACAAAAAGATTAAGTCGACAATTCAGCACGGACCCCTGTTTGTAATACAGGGTGTTATTGAAAGGTACGTACAACAAAATTGACAGTTCTTCGTAAAGTCTAAGAAGTCTGAAAATCTTATTTTGTGTTATCAAAATTATAAGGGGAAAATTAACCCTTCCTTATCCAACCTTTTTAGACGCTACTGAAAGATAAATAGGTAAAATTAATTTATTTCAGTAAATCCTAGCAACTGTAACAATAAAACTTTTGTTAAGACTAAATGTCGCTATAGAAACGAGAAGTAATTTTTTTATCAACGAATTTGGACATAAATTTAAATAATTTTTATCTTTAAAAGGAAAACACTTTTACCTGAACTTTTTTTAACTTTTAGCACCCATACTTCGATACCAATTGCCGATTTTATTTTGTACGTACCTTTCAATAACACGCTGTATAATGTAATCATAGTCATAAGAAAATATGCACGTTACTTCTTCTGTTTGAAAATTCAGTTAAATTTTGTTTTAAGTTTTTGTTACAGTGTTAATTTTTTCCCAAAACTTTTGTTACATACGTTATTGTATTACTCTACGTGACGCTTACAGACATCTCAATCAAAATTCGTTTCAAAATAATACAAATCGACCCCTGTTCACCGTTTGTCGCCCGACAAGTTTCTATCGAGAATCCGTAATTTATGGTTTTATGGGATAATTTTTACGTAGTAAAATTTTATTATTAAATAAAAATATTATTCTGGCTATACAACTTCTTTTTGTGCAAAAATTTATCTAAGAGAATTTACTGATTTTTTATAAACGTTAGATAGTGAAATAAATGATATCATAGCCAACGAGAGGTGACTTTCCTTAAAAAAAAAAATTGGTCTAAAGAGTTTAGACAGTACTTCCCTCGCTGTCGGAAACTTGACGACTGCATGCCTATTGTGTTTTTTTTCTCATTACATTTTTGTAGTGGGAATTTAAAAAAAAATTGTGATGACGTCATCAACATTTTTGCAAGGACACGTATATCAGTTGGGATAGATGTAGTGTAATACTAAGAATAAAATTATTATATTCTCAAATTTTCGGGAAAATGAATTGGGTCGTTTTGAATATTAATTTGTAATAATCGATAAAATAACGAAACAATTTACTCACGTGTACGTATCAGAGGCAACTGAAAATCGTGTGTGTATAAACATTCTTAATTTAAGATGACAGGCGTAACAGCATACGTGAGAGTCAAACAGAGAAACTGTAAACAAAACGACCATCGGTTTTATTGCTTCGACTTCCGCTTATTATATAAAACATTGGGTTTTATTTTAATTCTTGACGGTGAAATTCACAATTGGTTGATTATAAACATGTCTATTTCACATTCGCGGAACCAAGTGAGCACATAAAACAAATGCAGGTCTGTAATGTTACAGTCGATGTAAATAAGCGTGCTACCCTTATGTTTCAACCGAGTTTTTCCTTTAACAAATTTTGTGTCTACCAAATTGGGTTGGTTGGGGTGTAATACTAATAAGTGTTGCCTTTAATTTAATCAATAAAATAAATTGACTTCATTAATTTTTTTGAACCACCTCTTAAGAAAATCTAAAAAATATGAATGGAATGATAAAAAACAAGTACAAACTCATCATATTTTTTGCATTTTAGATAGGATTTATTCAGCAAAATTTAAGGGTGACGTCATCAATTTTTTTAGGAGGGATGAACAAATACATTTTGAACAAAAGTTTACCATGCTTATAATAACTTTAAAATATTCCCAAGATTTCAAAGCATTCGGTTTTGTAATTCCTGATTAAATCGATAAAATAAAATAAATTCACGCCTTCATTAATTTTTTTGAGTCACCCTGCATATGCAAATCCAAAAATATGAATGGAATGATAAATCACAAGTACAGACTCATCATATTTTGTACATTTTAGATACGATTTATTCGGCAAACTTTTGAGCTGACGTCATCAGTTTTTTGTAGAAGATAACCAAATATATTTTGACTAAAAATTTATTATGCTCTTTATAACCTTAAAACATCTGCAAGATTTCAAAGCATTCGGTTTTGTAGTTCCTGATTAAATCAATAAAATAAATTTACGCATTCATTAATTTTTTTGAGTCACCCTGTATATGCAAATCGAAAAAATTTGAATGGAATGATAAATCACAAGAAGAGACTCACCATATTTTGTACATTTTAGATAGGATTTATTCAGCAAAATTTTGTGGTGACGTCATAAATTTTTTAGGGGGGACGACCAAATACATTTTGATCAAAAATTTACCATGCTTATGATAATTTTAAAATATTTTCAAGATTTCGAAGCATTCGGTTTTGTAGTTCCTGAGTAAATCAGTAAAATAAATTTACGCTTTAATTTATTTTCTTGAATCACCCTGTATATGCAAATCCAAAAAATATGAATGGAGTGATAGATCACAAGTACAGACTGATCATATTTTGTACATTTTAGATATGATTTATTCGGCAAATTTTCGAGCTGACGTCATCAAGTTTTTGGAGGGGATAAGCAAATATATTTTGACTAAACATTTATTATGCTCTTTATAACCTTAAAACATCTGCAAGATGTCAGAGCATTCGGTTTTGGAGTTCCTGATTAAATCAATAAAATATATTTACGCATTCATTAATTTTTTTGAGTCACTCTGTATATGCAAATCCAAAAAATATGAATGGAGTGATAAATGACAAGTACAGGCTCATCATATTTTGTACATTTTAGATATGATTTATTCGGCAAACTTTTGAGCTGACGTCATCAGTTTTTTGTAGAAGATAACCAAATATATTTTGACTAAAAATTTATTATGCTCTTTATAACCTTAAAACATCTGCAAGATTTCAAAGCATTCGGTTTTGTAGTTCCTGATTAAATCAATAAAATAAATTTACGCATTCATTAATTTTTTTGAGTCACCCTGTATATGCAAATCGAAAAAATTTGAATGGAATGATAAATCACAAGAAGAGACTCACCATATTTTGTACATTTTAGATAGGATTTATTCAGCAAAATTTTGTGGTGACGTCATAAATTTTTTAGGGGGGACGACCAAATACATTTTGATCAAAAATTTACCATGCTTATGATAATTTTAAAATATTTTCAAGATTTCGAAGCATTCGGTTTTGTAGTTCCTGAGTAAATCAGTAAAATAAATGTACGCTTTAATTTATTTTCTTGAATCACCCTGTATATGCAAATCCAAAAAATATGAATGGAGTGATAGATCACAAGTACAGACTGATCATATTTTGTACATTTTAGATATGATTTATTCGGCAAATTTTCGAGCTGACGTCATCAAGTTTTTGGAGGGGATAAGCAAATATATTTTGACTAAACATTTATTATGCTCTTTATGACCTTAAAACATCTGCAAGATTTCAGAGCATTCGGTTTTGTAGTTCCTGATTAAGTCAATAAAATATATTTATGCATTCATTAATTTTTTTGAGTCACCCTGTATATGCAAATCCAAAAAATATGAATGGAGTGATAGATCACAAGTACAGACTCATCATATTTTGTACATTTTAGATATGATTTATTCCACAAACTTTTGAGCTGACGTCATCAAGTTTTTGGAGGGGATAAGCAAATATTTTTTGACTAAAGATTTATGATGCTCTTTATAGCCTTAAAACATCTGCAACATTCCAAAGCATTCTGGTTAGCAGATTAAAAATTAAATTTCAAAATGTTGTTTCATAATTTTGATTTTTTTTCCAAAAATCTGGACGTTTCGGGTGAAAAGTCGATTCAGAGTTGTAAACTACATGTGTAGGACTATGTTATTTTACACAATTGAAAACCCATTTACTATGTACAATTTTGAAGTGACGTCATCGCATTAGTGGTGGGGATGGTTAGACAAATTTTGGTTAGCGTTTTACCATCTATATGATATTCTTAATATAAGTACAAAATTTCACAACAATCGGTCGATTACTTTCGGAGATCATCTGTCTAATAAAAATCCGGGACGGCAGACGGACAGACGGACGGACAGACGGACGGACAGACGGACGGACAGACGGACAGACGGACAGACAGACGGAAATGGGAGACCTATTTCTTCGTCTTCTAGGGGTCATGAAAGATAGAGAAAACGTAAAAGTAGAGAGTCGGCCGACGGACTCGATTACAATACTTCCTTTGCTTACGCTCGGGAAGTAAAAATAATAAATTCTTGCTTGTAATTAGATTTTGTCAAATATTAATATTTTAACAAGTAGCTAACAATTTTCACTTATTTTTTGAATTTTACCTAGCAACAATTCCAAAAAATAAAAATTATGGCGACGACAAATATAACATAGCAAAAAGTATTTCGATGGCTGTATATCTTGTACACTTACTTTGAACAAGATAAGATAATTTAAACATAATGATAAGTGTGTATTTCTGAAGGTAACATCTGTTTCTGAAAGTGTTGGTCTGTTTTGGAAAATTTCGAAGTGATTTGACAATATGAGAATTTGGCATGTCATGTTTTAATTCTACCACAAATGAAAAATGAAATTCAAAGATAAGGTAAAAACATTGTTTGTGTATAGTTGTGTACATCTACTAGCAAAATTTATTTCAAAAGAAATTCCATTTGTAATGATGTTTTTGTCTTTGAACTGAAGAATATGTGAATTTTCTTCTTTGGGTGTCTATTCTCGAAAGTGTATAATTTAAAAAACTTTTACAGAGCCGTCAGCTAGGAGTCTTGTTTCTAATAACTTTTTTATGTCTTCTTGTGAATGGTAAATACGTGAATTTTTATTTTTATTAATAACTAACCAAAAGTGAAGTTTTTAGCTCTCAGATGTGTTATTTCTGTTTATCAAAATGTGATTCGCCGATTGAGATAGAAAAATGTAATACAAGATATGGCAAACAAGCCGACACAAAATGCATTGCAGCTGAAACGACAATTTGTAAATAGGTAAGTTCTTATATTAACAAATTCTTAAAAAAAAAATCTTAGCTGGTGGTTTGTTGGTGAGGAAACAATGTATTCTGACAAATCAATCTCAGCAATTTTGTGACAAGTTTGCAGACTTAGAAGATGTTAATTGCTATATTTGTGATGAAGACTTGTGCAACTCTTCAAAGGAGACGTCATCGTCAGTTGTCATGATTTTAACAATTGTTATTGCTTTTGTTCTAAATAAATAAAATATAAAAATGGATATCTAAATTTTTACTAAAATGACTAAATTTTGATGGCACCTACTGAGAAAAGAAAAATGTATATCTGTGTAAACAATCCTTATGCTGAATTTTCAGGGCACAAAAAGATTCAAAAGATTCATAACGCGAATTTTAGAATTATATTCTGTTCAATTCCTGATGTTAATTTTTACAAAAATTCTATACAATAACAAAAATGTGAAAAAAATTAATTCAATAATTAATTAATGTTTAAATATGTTAGAATTAGTTAAGTGCAATCCAAAAATTGGGAAAAACAATCTCCTTTTTCTAAATTTCTTTTTATTATATAAGTGTTTCCATTACAAGTTAGTGCAGCAAAAGCTTATAAAACGTCACTTAAATATATTTATAACTCACTACCAAGTGGCTAAAATTGATTCAAAAAAATACATGCCAAAAATACCATATTTAAGAGGAATACGCTTATGGATACGGAATGTCCTGTAACACCATTACCATCATTATTATTTGTATTTTCAGTAGCTTTAATTGCTAGGTTTCCAGTATTGCAATTGTCATTTAAACAGGACATGCAATTGAGAATATTCGTTTGATTATACTTATAAGTCTTCAGATGACTACAAACATCTGAACTCGGATCAGCACATCCTCTCTGAGTTCCTAAAAATCACACAATAACTTTCTTTGCTTACTCACATGCAATAACTTGCCATTTGCTGTAAGGACAGTGAAGCACTGATACTCTGAAGATTGTTGTGTAGATGTAATTACTTGTTGTAATTTCTCTGCACAATTTACAGTCGTGATATTGTTCTGATCTGGGGACAAACACTTGCCACTGTCTTCAGGTTTACATTCATAACAAGTCTTACTTGAAAAAACTAAAATAATGGTCTTCATTATGCATTCTTACAAAAAGCAGTAAAATTATGTAGTGGTACTCACCACATGCAAAAGAGCTCAAAATGATGAAAATTAGAAAATTCATGCTTGTTGAAGGTTTGAAAGGGGCGAACAAACTGATATGTTTATGTGGAATACCTATGTAGTGATAAAGAGGTGGGTACATGAAGCACACCCGGATATATTTTTTGCTAAATATGAATACATTAGTATATGTCTATACGACTTATCAGTGTATGACGATCAAATGCCAGCCCTTTGTCTTATCTGTACCTACGCATAATTAGGGTCCCGTATTGATCCACAACAAATTGTTTGTTACATAATGTTTGTTAAAAACACTTATCTTGAGCCAAAAATAAAATATTAGGCGCGGGTTCGAGTATTAGAACTGAGTTCTGAAAACGTTCTAAAGTTGATTTTTCTTGAGAATGCACAACAAAAATATTAAAAACAGTAAAGTAATATATGCTTGTATATCCGTCTTAAGTATAATTTTAAGGGCTGTATTATCTTGTTATAAATAAGTAAGTTGTAATGTACGAATATTTAACAAATTCAAATAAGCGAATCAAGAAAAAATTTTAAGATCCATTTTGAAATTTCAAAAAATGTTTGTAATATTTTCAAGATCCTTCAATAACCAAAGTTTTTTCAAGATTTTGTAAGATTTCTCAAAAATGTTCAGGATTTGTGAAGTTCAAAATCCTTTCTGAAAATTTCAAGATTTAAAACTTTTTTCCAGTTTCGATATTTTTCTTTAAAAAGCCACGATCTTCAAAAGATTTTTTGAAAAATTTTGTTCAAAGCTTTCTTAAAACCATTTCTAGATCCATATTTACGTTCTTCAAAATTTTCTTCAAAAACTTTAAGATGGTTGAGATGTATTGGTTTAAGATTTCCAAGATCTCTATAGAAATTTCAAATATTTGTTGTCAACATTCTTGAAATTGTCTAGGATTTTTTCAATTTTTTAATTTGGAGGACTTTTTGTAGACTCATTTCAAAAATTTTGAAAATTTGTGTAGATAATTTTGAAGAATTTTTAATTATTTTAAAACATGTTCGAATGTTTTTTTAAGAAGTACAGAGTCATCAAAATTGATTGAGAGAGTTGGTAAACCTGAACTTGAATAATTTGGTTTATTAAGTTGTATAAAAATATTAGCTGTCAGATTTGAAGTTTCAAGTTTCAAATTTCAAAACTCAGTGGCGTCTTTTTTCGATTTTTTTTTTGGTAAAAAATATTAGTTGTCAGATTTGAAGTTTCGAATTTTAGATCCACTCATTTCTGGAATTTGTTCTCAAAGATGCAAGTAGCAATAAGGTATAGGGTGCGCATCGACCAAGGCGATTCGTACAAACGTTAAAACCCTTCGCAACTTTGCAAGAAGGTAACTTTCCTATTAGCAACTGATTCAGGTGAGTTCGACAATCAACCCCCAGTTCTCTTGTCACGCCACTGAATTCATTGCCATATAACCTTAAACAAATCTGTCATAAGGTTGACAAACTTCACGACAAAAGCAGGGAGTACCAACTTTCTCAATCAATTTTGATGACTCTGTATATAAAAATATGTTTACTTTTATTTTTAAGGTGTTTTTCTAGTCCCTTTTTGATATATACAAAAAATTTCAATATTTTCAGAATTTTTCAATAAATAATTAAAGTTTTTTTAAGAAGTAACAATTTTTTTTAATTCTTAAAGTTTTTTCAATTTTTTGTTAAGATTTTCAAAATTCCTTCTGAGAATTCCAAGATTTTTTCAAGATTGTCAATATCCTTTGAAGATTAAAAATTCAAGATTTGTTAAAAGAAGAAAAAAAAGTTTTCCGGAATCCATATTTAAATTTTCCAAGTGTTTTCAAAATCTTGAACATTGTTTTTGAAACTTTAAAGATTTTTCTTGAAATTTTCAGGATTTGACTTTTTTAATTTTAAAGAGCCTTTTTAAGATTCACTTTATAGATTTTTTCCAAAAAAATTTTTAGAAGATCTTATTTGAAGATTTAAATATCTTTCATAAAATTTTTCAAGAACTTTCTAAAAAAAATGGTCGAAAGTCGTTTCGACAGAACTTCCCTCGCTTCTGAAATACAATTATAATTTTTTGAGTCACCCTGTATATGCAAATTAAAAAAATATTAATGGAATGATAAATTACAAGTACAGACTCATCATATTTTGTACATTTTAGATAGGATTTATTCGCCAAACTTTTGAGCTGACGTCATCGATTTTTTGGAGGAGATAAGCAAATATATTTTGACTAAAAATTTATTTGTTCTTTATCACCTTAAAACATCTGCAACATTTGAACGCATTCGATTTTGTAGATTCCAAATTAAATGTCAAAATGTTGTTTCCTAATTTGAATTTTTCTGTACAAAATATGATGAGTCTGTACTTGTAATTTATCACTCCATTCATATTTTTTTGATTTGCATATACAGGATGACTCAAAAATTTAATGAATGCGTAAATTTATTTTATTGATTTACTCAGGAACTACAAAACCGAATGCTTTGAAATCTTGAAGGTGTTTCAAAGTTATCATAAGCATGGTAAGTTTTTGATCAAAATGTATTTGCTCATCCCCTCTAAAAAATTTATGACGTCACCACAAAATTTTGCTAAATAAATCCTATCTAAAATGTACAAAATATGATGACTCTTTTCTTGTGATTTATCATTCCATTCATAGTTCTTGGATTTGCATATACAGGGTGACCCAAAAAAATTAATGAATGGGTAAATGTATTTTATTGATTTAATCAGGAATTGAAATCTTGCAAATGTTTTAAGGTTATAAAGAGCATAATAAATTTTTAGTCAAAATATATTTGGTTATCTTCTACAAAAAACTGATGACGTCAGCTCAAAAGTTTGCCGAATAAATCCTATCTAGAATACACAAAATATGATGAGTCTGTACTTGTAATTTATCATTCCATTCATATTTTTTGAATTTGCATATACCGGGTGACTCAAAAAAAAATGAAATCTACTGCGAAAAAAAAACATAATAGATATGCAGTCGTCACGTTTCCGACAGCGAGGGAAGTACTGTCTAAACTCTTTAGACCAATTTTTTCATTTAAAGATGTTTTTGGATTCATCTTGAAATAAAAAAACAATATTTTGGAAATTTTTTTTCAATTATCATTTTTTAAGATGTAAGATTTTCAAAATTTTTTGAAGACATTTTTAAAATTTTGCAAGACCCCGTCTGAAATTTTCAAAATTCTGCAAGAATATCAAGATAATTTTTACAAATTTAACGATGTTGAAAATTTCGACATTTTTTTTTAATCCGACATTTTTTAAAAGATTTTTGTGAGCTCTTTGAGCATTTTGAAAATTCATTTTTAAATTATCAACGTTTTTCAAGATTTTTTCAAAATCTTCAAGATTGTTCTAAGAGATATTCAAAATCACTCATGGCATTTCCAGGATTACAGTTTTTTAATTTTGAAGAACCTTTTCTAAGATTCACTTTAAAAATCCCTTACAAAGAATGAATTGTTTGAGGAACTTTTTTAATGATTTAAAATCTTTTCCAAAATTTTATCATAATCTTTATTAATTTGTTTATAAAGACGTTTCTCAGTATACTTCTTGACCTAAAAAAATCAAATTATTTCAAAATACTTCATCAATAATGGACTTTTTTAAGATTTTTTTAAATTTTTTACGATTTTTCCAAGATGGTTAAGATCCTTCTTAAAATTTTAAAAGCTTTTCCAAAATTTGTAAATTTGTTTTTAAAATTTAAAGATTTTTTTCGAACTTTTTTTAACATTTTTAAGATCTATATTTAAAGTTTCAAAATTGTTCACAAATTTGTGAAACTTTTTAGGTGGCTTGTTGAAATTTCCATAGCATTTATTTGGTGAAGTCTGAACGAACAAGACCGTCACCTCTACCATGACCGACGGATTCAGATCTTGAAATTCGAAGACCTCCCTTGAAAAGTAAGATTTTTTGAGCAGTCAGTTCAAAAAAATAGAGACAAACCATTTTTTGTATTTCTGAATGTCAGTGTCAAGGAAATATAGAGAAGCTCTGATACTTCTAGTCCTTATAAGTCGTTGTATCCAAATTTGATTAAAAGACCTTCTAGGTAGATAAATAGCGTCTACTTTGAGTGTTAAAAATTTGAGAAAATACGTGTATATTTTGCACTGAATTGAAAATTGAGCTAAAGGAGTCCATACAATTGAAAGCACTCAAAGACCTTATTGTGATAAACTCAAGAGATTTAAACGTTTCTGCAGATATTACCAATCTGTGAGGAACGTTAAGTTTGGAATAAAACGTTATACTTATTATTCCCAGACTTCTAAAGGAATCCACTCTTGATACGATATTCAAGTTAATAGTGTAACTGAAACTAAGTTTAGAAGTTTTATTTGTCTGATACATAATGTAGTATTTGTCAAAATTAATGGGTAACATATCTTTAGCCAAATACTTCTAGATAGTAAGACCGACACCTAAAAATAAAAATAAAAATAAATATATCACCTGATTCTTTTATTTTGGTTTTAGAACTTATTGGAAAAGTAACAGTCACGACACAATTCAGCAATATACGGCACAAAGTGTGACGATGACGGTGAGGAACATAACACATCTCGAAACTGTAGTTCCAATTACACCACCCTTGGTATTTGTAGTATCACCGAGAAAAGATTTTCCTTGTGGAGTTATTTTTGTTGAAGTTATTCCTTCCAAATCCAAATTTGCAACATTGCACGCGTTATTGCTACACGTTTTGCAATCAATCATTTTACCGTTAATTTCTCTTTTTTCCACTGTCATTCTCAAAGCTGTGCAAAATTGTGCACTTCCTTCGCTTGTAGAACAACCTCTGTAGTATCCAGTGTGCTCTGTAACTCCTACGAAGCTTTTAAATTTTGATTTATACATATTGAAAAACATTACCTGCGTCAAAGTACAGATAAAAACAAAAAAGAGGTTCTGTGGAATTGAGACTCATATCTTTTATCGTTTTAGTCATTGGCATTTCGTCTGTATTGTTGGTGGTTGTAACATTTCCCGTGCAAATGGTGGTCGCGATATTGTTTTTATCTGGTGATTCACAACTTCCGGGGGATTTTGGGTCACACTGGTAACATGTTAAATTGGCCGAATTTGCTAAAATATACATAACTGTTATGATTAAAAAAAAACAATTACATACATACCTGAGTAAAAAATACACACGAAAAGAACGATTTGGGACAACATTGTGGCTAAAACCAAAAACCGATTGAACGTTAAACCTGAAAGAAGAGTTATCTCTTTAAGTAAATAAGTTTGGCGGCTATATTTGTTGAAGTTTGGGAAAAACAGTAGATACGCGGTACCCTTACGTGTGTGACTAGTTTAAACCGATATTAAATTTTTTTCTTTAGGAAAAATATTTTATGTATTCTACCCACATACTTTTTGTACAAAGGATATGCTGCCTCTTCAGACACTCTGGAAGTGTAACTAATAAACCAACAATAGTCACAACAAATAAATACCAGAACCACTGACTGAATGCATTATTTTGTAAAATGACGCAGTCGATGTGGGCTTTTCGCGCACTATCTTCAACCACAATACCATGTCTTTTGTCGGTGCTATAGTGAGTGGTTAAATAAATTTCAAAGTGAGGTAGGCCGCGGTTGTGATACCAAAAACACATTTGTATCGTTAAATAGCTATTTATACAATAAGAGGCAAAAATGCTACATTTTACTACGCGACGTGAAATTGCCCATCGAGGCGTTAGCCGTCAAGTAATAAAAGACACTTTTGCCTCGCATAACATACAAGATTTTTTGTAATTTAGTGTTCATTCGTAGATATTTTTTCAAAAAAATTTGATTTAACTGTCAATCGTAATAAGGATCGTAGATTGCAGTGTTCCGTTGATACGGAAATCAAAGCGTTGCTATTTACATATTTCTGCAAAAACGCAAAAAACAAATTATTATCCGTTCACGATCTTTATATAGTAGGGTTGGCCATAAAAATCTAGTGAGTTTGTTGGTATTCCATGCAGAAGAATAAAAATTCCCTGAACTTTTTTCGTTAGATTATGTTTTATTAAATTAAAGGTTAAAAAATATGCCAGAAATATAAACATTGTTGCCGATACTTTCAGTTTTCAGTAGCAATGACCAAGTTAACGGTATTTATTTCTTAGAAAGCATGAAACTTTACGCTATTTAAAATAGTTATTCGGCTTTTTGTAAGTGTTTATTTCATATGTAAGGAACAAACACTAAAATTTCACTTAAACATTGTTTTTATATGAATGGGGGTTGTACATACGACTATTGTCGTATGCCACATTTAGCATCTCATCTTTAATTCTCAATCATCAGTTCGTTCTGCTCGCCCACTCTTCTTAGGAATGAAATTTCGATTTTTGTGAACAGCCCATTTCCATATCTTCCAACTTCTTTTGACACTTTTCTAAGATTACTAAAAGGGTTGGTAAAAAAGACAACAACCTTGCTCTAGTGCTTTGATGGGTTTAGCTCTTCTGAAACATTTTTCCGGCTTTAAATTGAATGATTTATCTATATAGCTATTACTAATGCTTACGTAAGTGCTCTTTATTTGCTTTTACAAAGTACTTCCAAACGCTTATTAATAAGAACGTTACTATACGCCTTCTCCAGGTCCATGAAGAGTTACAAAAAAAAAAAATGCTTAAAATTTGGTGCAAAGTAACAACATGGATGATCTAACTAAAATTATACTTATTTTGTTGTACGTCAGGTAGTTTTTCACATACTACCTTGGTAAATTAAGAACGAAAGATGCGTAAAAATATCACCCCCCGACAAGCTACAATTTACTCCATTTCCATTATTTCGCTATGAAAATCTGTATCATCACCGTCAATTTCAAATTCAGATTCTGAATCAGATTCACCTAACGAAATAATGAAAGGAGGTATACGAAAGATTTCCCATATTTTTTTCCCAATCTGCCAAAATAAGTTTTTCACAATGTTTACAAAAATTTGCCACATGCTTGGAGTACATTTAGAAAGCGCATCAAGCCATAAATTGTCCACCCTATTTTTTAATGGAGGTTGAGAATTTATATGCTTTTTGTAATAGTTGTTAAAAAATCCCTACGCCATTTCAATTGGATTATATTGACAATGGTACAGAGGTAATCTAAGAACGTCATGGTCACTTTCTCTTAATGTCTCGTCTACCAAATTCTTTTTTTTTTCTATTGTTTCTGAAGGGTATAATTACATTCCACAACTGTTTCTTCGAAATTTTTTTGCCAAATTCAACACTATGTTTAAAGAGTCACTCCTGCATTTCGCATTTTTTACTAGAAAAAGTGGGTAGTTTATCCAACTGAACCGAATGATACGGTGCATTGTCTAAAACCACCACACATTTTTGGTTCAACTTTGCCAAAGCAGGAATGAACTGATTAACCACCCAATTTTGAAAAATTGTCCCGTCCATCGTTTTATGATAGTCTCTATCGTTATTTTTTTAATTTAAAAAATTGTTACAACCATCCATGGTGGTTGTAAATCCAAGAACCCCGTTGATCAACCCGCGTGGAGAATAGTAAACCTTGATCCTTCACTTTTAATTTTGGTGGGATTGCTTTTTAGATCAATATCGTGCACCCAGCGACGAATGGACGAACCATTTTGATCGATCCATGTTTCATCCAAATACACGAAATTCAAATTTTCACAAGAATTTAGAGACTGTAAATATGTTCTCAAAAAAGTAATTTTGGCTGCAACGATATGTTTTTGTTCACATAGAATTTTGCGACCATCTACTTCCCTGTGTTTATAACCCATTGACTTAAGAATTTTGTATGATGTGGTTCGCCCCCCTTCAAATTCCAACTGTTTCCTAGTATATGCCAAAGAGTATCTACAATGAAATATTCGTTTTTTTTTCATTAAGTTGCCAAATTTGTCGTTGCAGGTCTTTCCGAAGCATATAATTTGTAAATAAATCTGTTGGTTTTCGCTTGCCAGATAGTGATGTTTTTAAATTTTGGTGCCCTGTTGATAAAATTTTCGCCACAGTTGATGTTGCCACCTATGAGAAAAAAAAAAAATATATTTTTCAGCGTATTTTTACATTACAGAAAATATGTTCGAGATCCTCATAGTTACTTCTTCGAAAGAAAGATCGGGCCTGTCTTTTCGAAACTGCAAAAAACATCTTCTTATTGCAATTTTTTGTTGCAGTAAGACTATTTTAGGCATTTTCTTTTTAAATAATGTCGGAATGATCTCTGAATCTGTCACAATGAAAAATTATCTATGCTGACAAAATTAAAACATTTGTTTGCTTGATTAAAAAATTGCGTCTAATAATTCTGATCCAATAAATGAAGTAGAAAAGTGGCAATCCAGCTCAAAGCAAATATCAATCAGACTACCGACAGACAAAAAACTAAATCATCAGATCATTTTATCCAACTTAAAGAAAAAATATTAAAGCCTACTTTACTGTATAAAGATCGTGAATGGATAATACACGTTGCACTTTTTCGTTAATTTCATCAGTGTTTTTGTGTGTGACGCCGTATTAGTATCTGAAGAAACATGAGTGATTAAGAAGATGATGTGCCGTCTGAGATTGAAAACGTTGCCAAAGAAACAATTTCAAATTTATTAGCGTCAAAGTCGAAGGAATTGTGTGAAATGGCTTACGAACGCTATGAAGATTGGTGTCAGCTGAAGAATGTTAAAATTACGTCAGAAAAAGCAATTCTTGCGTATTTTTCCGAAAAAACAAAAAGTCAAAAAGCGTCTACAGTGTGGAGTCATTATTCAATGTTGCGATCAACGAGAGGAATAAAGCAAAATGTAGACATAAGTAAATTTATACATCTGATTGCTTTTTTAAAGCGAAACGCTGAAGGTTATCAACCGAAAAAATAAAAAATCTTTACAAGAAACCACATCAGCAGATTTTTAAGGGAAGCAGACGACAATCAATTAAGGTATTTTTGCAAAAATGTATCGAATTTGTTGTATAATTTCTGTAGGTTAGGTACCTTGATAGTTGGGGTGGCTGGTGGATGTCGAAAAGATGAATTAGTCCACATGCTGATTGAAGACCTATCCTATCCTCTAACGTTAGCGGATTATCATTTATCATCTACTATTAGTGGTGCAACATTTAAAAACTGTACTGTTAATATTTACAATAAATAAATTTACTTATCTTAGTTAATTGAACTTTTTCACAGATATTACTTTTTATATCTAGTGATAAAATAATGTCACTTTTTGTTACTAGTGATCAAAAGAGTAAAATTTCGTAACAGAAAATGCATATGAAATGTCGAGATTTGACAACTAAATTACAAAAATATTTTTTATTGATTCAAACAGGGGAACGTTCCTAAATTATTTAAATGTTTCTAAATTCAATCCAAGTGATTCATTATAAAAATTGATTTTGATGCCTCCATTAACTCGCAATAGTTGTCAGATATTGGTTTATATACATATTTATTTAGTTACACATTAAATCGGTTTAAAGTGTATCAGTAGCCCCTTTTCCTGGAATTAGATAAAGATCATAAAGCAACATTTCCTAATAAGGTTTTGTTTTTACGTTTCATATCTGTGTGTGGAGTAGGTACGTATTTCGACTAGTGGAGGAGGTTCAGTGACGCTATGGATATATTACAGAGTCTGCATTCAAATTATTAAAGTTCCATATTTCGCAACCCTGTATAATGTATAACAGAGTTGGGCTAGAAAATTTTAAAATTTGGTATGATGATATGACAAGATCACGACAAAAATTTGAAAACTGATACTTTTACAATACATTGTTTGGTACCTCCCTCGAAAAGTTATTTTGACGGTTTTTGATGGTGTAATTTCTCGAAATTCATAGTGCCATTTTAGCTTAGTCTTTTTTACCCAAGTTTCGAAGTTGGAGATTTTGGAGTTGCTATGATATTTTGGATTTGCTTACTGGATTTGAAGCAATTTATTTCTAATCAGCGAGTTTTTCCTGTTTCTTTATCTTTCCCTTATCTTTTTTTTATTATCTTGTGTTTAACCTTTCCGTGGTCTGTCTTGTGTGTCGATTTTATAAAAGCCACCGTAAAAGACCCTACTTTTTGATACAGTAGTGTTCGACTTTATTAATGGTGATTATTGTTCCTTAAATAATTTCTTATCATATTTTGATTGAACAATACACTTTAATGAATTGAAATTGGACGAAAAATTTCTCTTTTTTACGACATTCTTTTTGAGGGCCTTGATCACTGTGTTCCAAAGAAAACCATTAAAATCAATAAACTTTATCTTAGATGGTGTAACAAAAATCTTAGAAATCTGTGTCAACAAAACAAGTTAGTCCATCCCAAGTACAAGAAGTCTGGCAAACTTGAAGATTATCTTTGTTTTAAGATACTAAGATTGAATAGTAAAGATTTTAATCAAGGCCTTTTTGATTCTTACATTGCTAAGGTAGATGCTAGAATAGCATTTGGCCCAAAATATTTTTCGAAGTTTATTCGGGATAAAAACAAAGACTCTACAACACCTAATTAAATATATGTCTTTTGGGAATAAATCAGCCGACAATGAATTTGACATTTGAAATCTTTTTGCAGAATATTTTTCTTCGGTTTACGTAAACAGTCCTACGGTGTTGAGCAGAATAG